TTCGAACGTTAAATTAATTTACGACCATCATGATAACAAAAGAAGTTAAACATGGATACATGTAAAAGCATAGAATTAACATTGTATAGTAATCATACTATTTAAACGGTGATAATAGCCAAGAATTGCTTACCTTAGTGGTTGACAGAAAGCTATATGTTGATATGGTTGTTGCTATTAACATCATGTCGGTTCAATGACAGTTTCAATAATCCATTTTATTTGCATAAGAATCGATATCCAGTAGCCCTTTCGTCATTGGATAAGATCTGAATTCATTAATTTTAGCACGTAAAGCTACGAGATGAAGATAGTTAATTAAGGAGTGGATGATACTATAACACTTAGCAACCAAAATCACAACACCTAGTTTAACAATTGCTCAATTGTGCACCATGACATTGCCAACATGGTTTGTCTTTATTTGACTCTCCCTGTATATATAATATAGCCATGTTACGAGAAAAGCTTATTTTTATGCTTAAATATTAATTCTAAATTGTGCAGTACCGGTAATTTGTACTATTAAAATTACTGACAGAGAAGGTTACAAGTTTTTGGTGAAGGAAAGATCATTTTTAACTTAGTAAGTTAAAAGCTTTGAAAATTTCCCATTTCGTTTGCTTTACACTTAAATAGCGTAATCTTATAAACCTGATTTTGTTTTCTCTTATAAAAGGACTAGTGCAAAATTTGATCTAAACCAAGATTGATTAAGAAGAATTAACAATTTTTATCCACAAACAGCCATTGTGATTATTGCTACTTTCTCACAAGGTAAGTTTTCGCTAAACTAATCGAGTATACTTAGAATAATGGACCATCAAGATGACAGGATAACCTGTTGCATTTAGCTTTTGGTCACTGAGAGTATTTAGAGTAAGACAGAATGATATTTTCGTATTTAAGACGACAAAAAAATCAATACTACATAGCCTGTTGTATGCTGTGAAATGCATCTTATGAACTTACCTCTCTTGCGCTGTGGCATTTCTTGACGAGATCTCTTGTCGCACTATCATTTACAGATGATATTAAAGACGATGTTAATTACAGTGTTTACAACCGCTTTGGGATAATATACTGAAATCATAACAGTAATTAATTTTCTTTTATGAATAAAATCCTTAATTTTTCTTTAATAGCCGTCATGCTGTGTATAATCGTTTGCCTTTTACTTTGCTATCGTCATTTATTGCTAGTAATATAAGAGCGATCTTATTTCATACATCAGTTATAATTTCAATTTAGCATTTGATCGCTCTGAGGCTCATTATATTGACTCATGGAATCATCATCACCTTGCTTTAATTAATAAAGCAGACGAGACTGCTTTTAGAAAGTTAGAATACATCGGAGCCACCAATGATACATTGTCATAATAGCCGTATAGGATATCATTTCTATTGGAATGGAGATTTATTATGATTAATTTTATAGTCAATCTTATGTTACTGAATCTAAATTGTACTACATTTATTAATTTTTAAATCTTTCTGCACCTAAATTATAATAGTTTAATTTGATTTGTTCCTTGTTTTAAATTGACAAGACTATTTATACATGTAGAGAATAAATTCGAATTGGGAATGATCAATATAAGTACCATCTAATATTATTTAACGTGATTGGGAATATAGTACATTTAAATTTTATCGCTAGGGCCTCTGTTACTGATTCTAAATTATCTTATAACATTTTACCAACCTCTGCAGTCAATAACTATATTAAATTTCTCTAGAGAAATTTCATGTAAAGCCATATCTCTATCTCTTAATGGGGAGACCTACTACGTTAACGGAATATTTTGTTCACGACTAATTACGACCGAATTTCTTAATTGGATACATGAAATAACACGATGGCATGTAAATAGTTAATACTAGTCGAATTAGATTTACTTAAAATAGCTTTATAGGCGTAGAAATGCTAAGCAACGTGCGAAAATGCCAAACGATTAGACTTGCGAAAAGGGAATGAAAGCTCAAATGAAATCCGTTATTAACACGATTTCGTTACACATATTTAATTGAAGTTACTGAAAAACGTCGCCAATTTAACCTGTGGAGCCCTATAAATAGGTAGTTTTAACTTCCTTAGTATCATTCTCTCGATAAATTCAAGTTGGATAAATAATATATGACAGCGTTAAAATAATTTAGTAATCATTACTTCACACGGAAAAAATGACTTTAACATATAAGGGTTGTATATTGTCTTACCGGTAGCATGAATTAGTAGATTTTTTCTTCTTTATTAACTGTAATATGACATTGGTATAGAAATAATTTCATGTAGCTCTGAAGCCATTTTGCAGCTATTTCTCTAATGCTCATTAATAACAATAATCATAAAATGTAATTGAATACAAAACAATGTAGCACCTGGCGATGGCCTATGTACAGATAATGAAAGGTAGAATGCGGTAATAGAAGAATAATCACCTTTAGAATTTATGTCATGTTTAAGGGTTTTACTGACGAGCTAATTATGCCCTCTTTCAAGCATTTGACCTTATTCTAACGTTGTATTCTTTCCATAACTATTAAAATTCTTTCCTATAAGTGGTAGGAAAAATTTTTAAACTTTCGTCAGGCCTTAATATTGGAAGAAATTAAAAAAAGTTAATCTAAACTAAAGATGACCCCCTAACCCTTTCCCATTGGAATAATAGTTTATAATAATATCATAGATCGACAAATAGACAAATCAGTCAGTTATTTCTCTACTAATCTATTATCTTAGCGCTTTTCAATATAGATATGCAAATTTTGCCTGAATAACTAAGAATCGTAAAGAATGTCTTAATCAACGTGATTGTATCTAGCAATTTCTCCTTCAGTATCGCTATATAAAACATAAGTCATTCTCTTTGAGAATGCAACGGTCGTTGATGATGATATTTGCTATTTTTTCTAAAGAATTTCAGTTTATTCATTTTGAAAATATTTCTTAATCCAGCTATGGCGCTGAATCCATAGCAATTGCTATACAGAGTCACTAGCAATAATGATCAAGTTGAGACGTAAAATTAACGAATATAGGATATTCCATTTAAATAAGAAATTGTATTAACCTATTACGACTAAGACTGAGTACCATAGTTGATTGTTGGCATTCTAGAGGGAATAATCAATTTTTAAATCTAAATTGCCATTATTGAACTCTGTTTAGTTATCCTCGTCAGAAACTGAAGTAGTAAGCATTTATTATTCAAATTTGAAGCTATCTTTCATTCTCTATGGAAAATGACAGAAACAATTATTAGTTATTTGACCAGAAACAGTCAATACCTTTTCGTGAAGGTTAAGATCTCGTTAATGAATAATGTTGTTGATGTCATGAATGAACCGAAAATTTTATACTAATTCTTCACCGACAAATTATCACGTTAATATCCAACATATCCTATATACGTTGACGTTGATAAGTATGGTTGTAATCTAATAAATCATCATAGATTAATAATTTATTTCATTTTATCAGTATGTTGTAGATTGCTAACATGCAGTTAATGTGATTATTAATTTACTCTATCGTCGCCGAAAAATAAATAGGAATAATCCATGTTATACATAGAATAGACTGCCATGAACATTGCTGAATAGTTTTAATTTACGATAACTGATGTGTTGTCGACTACCTATTCTTACACAGATAAAGCAAGGCTATCATATCATAAATAAAGATGCAGTAATAATACTTATTTTGCCCATACATCAAAACTCAATAATCTTTAATTGAATACGATGATCACTTGAATATAATTGCCGGTTAAAAAACTTAGCGAGAATGGTACTCTGTCTTATATTACGTCGATAAACATGGCTATCATCGCATAAGTGAACGTAAACGTACGTGTATTAACAGGTTCATTTTGCCAATATATCAGACATTATTAATTTGCAATTTAATACAATCATCGCTTGAATATATCGCCGCATAAAAATTAGTAGCAACAGTGTATTATCCGATATCCATAAAACAATTTTTATCTTCTCATTACTGAATATTATTAGTTTCCTATTTTGTCAACATATCAGATATCGTTAATACGTAATTGTAATTTAATGCGGTCATCGCTTGAATACATATATTGCTGCATAAAAATTAGCGGAAATGATTCACTATTTGATGTAGATTAAACAAGATTATCTTCTCCTACATGAAGGTACATCCATTGTTTCCTCTGCTATCAGTATGCGTATATCAGATATCATTAATATATAATTATTATTCATATAATCATCGCTTGAATACAGTATATTACCCACATAAAAAATTGGCGGAAATAGTTCATTATCTGTTATAGATAAAATAAGGTTATCTTCACGTAATGATCATACACTATTAACTTCTTACTTTGCCAGTATCTCAAATATATTGAATCTGCAGCTTAACAATGCAGCCATCACATTTATTTACTACCGTTAATGACGATCGATTAGCAACATTAATAAATTGTCTAGTGGCCATAGCCAGCGCTATTTGTTTACAGCGACATGATGATGCAAATATCACGTGATCCCTAGTTGTGGACATTCCAAATTTTACCAAACTTGGAATTTGAGGTTACGTAACCATGGAGACCATTTTGCGTTTTGGTTGTTTCCGCGGAATGCAACCACTTGTAGACATTGCTTGGGAAGATCCCATGTAGAGACAGCTTAGATTACAATAGTTTGCTTTATTTATGCATTTTTTTCTCATTAAAACAGAAGTAAGACACTATTGACTATCGATAATTCGTGCATTACGTCGGAAAGCGTAGCATTAATTAAGTAGATCCATCAAAAGATTTAAGAAAATTTTAGTATTGCCGTAAATGGATAGGCAGTAGTGTAGAAATAGTAGTTGGTAAATGAAGAAGATAAAAATAGAAAAATAGTAGGATAATATTAGCGTGCGTCTGTAATGGAATCTTTTACTAGAAAACAAGTTAGAATTAAAAAATTGACTATACCGTAGTTACTAAAGTACAGTACAGTATAAACCTGAAAATGGCGACGAAACAGCGGGTTCATATGTAAGTTAATTAATATGTGCTCTTTATTGCTACACCTACAGCCGTTGGAACTATTGACATGACATATTAATGATTTTATTAATAAAAAATGGTCGTTTAACCAACACAGTTATTGCCATTAGGTCTTGGTTCTAAATCATACCTTAGTAGAGCCAAAAAAGTTTTCTCTGATTGCCATTACTTTTGTTCATCTCATACTAAATAATGATAAAATTTTGAATCAAACAAATCTTACAGGATTAACTTATACTTTTCAATATCCGAATATATTCTTATCGTAGTTGTAGACTTTCGATATGAAGGTGTAATATAATAGGAGTTTACTAGCCTTTGTAGGCTTCTTATCAGTATCTCTCAATCTTGCCTAACAGCCATATTCTCAATATTTATAGGAGTAGCCAATTTCCCAAGAATAAAGTCATATATAGTCACTCGAAAAATCAACGCGTCGTCTTCAGTAGGCAAGTGCCAGCTCCTTTTACTTTATCGTCCGAGATTAATAGAAGGAGCGCTCTGTCTACAATATCAGGTAAGCGAATAATTAATTATGTAAATATAAATATGCTACCATTTCATCCTTTGTCAATTCCAGATTCGCTCTCTAGATATTAACGATCTATTTTTCACGGTTTACTTTAGGCTTTGGTAAAAATCGTCCAGTAAAGAAAGGAAAGAATTCAATGCAGGGATTTTCCAATATTATAGCTAACTTTGGCAGCCAGAGCAAGGGCAACTTTGTTCAAAGCTATGGCAGCCAACGACCCACAACCAAAAATAAACCATCCACTACCAAGTCATCGGTTGCTCTAGTTCCTCCTTTGAGACGATTTATGACAGCCGTTTCAAGTGCTCATTCTACAAAAACCACTAAGTCTGCCATTAAAAGTGGTCATGCTTCATCAAAATCGAACGCTTCTCGTCAAGATCGTTACAGTACTGGCAAAGATAGCAATAGAAATACAACTGCTGTTAGTCGTGGCACTGATGGAATGAAAAGTAATCAATCATCAAGATATAGCCAAGTCAGACCATCGAAAAAGTCAAACGATGCCACAGGAATTCCAATGTATTCAAAGTTACAGTCTAGAGTTCACGATAGTCGTAGGCCAAGATTGCAGCCTATTGCTGAAACTATTAAGCAAAAGCCACATAGTCGACGTACAACAAGTGAAATTACTCGTGTTTATTCATTAAGCACGCCATTTAATGGGCCAACAGCAATGAAATCCAATAATGGTCATTTATCAGAACGTCATTCTAGGCCTGATAATGATCGTTATGATGCCAATAAATCGGTTAAAAAAGAAGATAAGCCGAAACAACCTATTCCAACATTAAAGTCTCGCTTACCTAAATCCGTATTTTCATCCATGGTCGTTGGTAGTAACAAATTCGGTCAATCTAATCCTGATGATAATGATGCCAATAAACTTGAATCACAACCGAAAAAGGACAATAAATTCTCCCAAAATGCAAAGAAATCTTCAAAGCCTCTACCCTCCTTTGCAAAAAATCGTCGTGCATGTGGTGCTGCAAGTGATTCCGACCTTAGTAAAACCAACAAAAAGCCGACTAAACCATCCAAGCCCAAATATAAATCCGATTTACATTTGAACTTCTTACCAATCAATCTGTCTTATTACAAAGATTATGGTGTTACTGAACCAAAATCATTGGGTATGAAGAAATGGGCTTCTGATGAAAAGATTCGTAAATCTCCCTACAAGTTAAATCTTAAAGTCAACCCTGAATCTACATCGAATGGTGGCAAAATTCCTTCTCCACGCGATGAACGCCGTAAATTATCATCTGAAAATCAAAATCTAGCCATTAGCCCAGCCAATCAGGAACTAATTAAAGGGCTCAATCGAATCTATGGTAAATCAGTAAAACAGAACTTATTGCGTGGAAAAATAGCTGAAAAGGTGCGCCATGCACAAGAAGAACAGAAACTCCGTGAAAAAATACAATCCAAGAATGAAAGGCGCTTATCGAATATAAAAAAGAAGGAAAGGGAGGAAGATATCCGTAACATTAAAGAAAAACATAATAAGGATTTACAAAAGCGCTATGCCAATACACATATGTCGATGAAAGCATTATCTATTGCTGTTATTGCCGGTATGAAACTAAAGCAAGGATGGATGCCGCGAGTGGATGATTCTAAAAAATCGCAACCATTGTACACAACCACATCGATTAAAAAGCCTAAAAGTGATCAAGATAAGGCTAGTTCTGTTGCAAGTTCCAGAAATTCGATCGCTCTTCCTGCGGAGGAGGGACATAAATTTTTACCAGCCTTGGATGTGAAGCATGAAACGCAGCAACCGTTGAGCTATAATCTCAGCAATCGAAATAGCCCCAAGTCTATGTTTAATCTAAGAGCAGAGGATGATGAGTCGATCTTACCACGACTAAAAACTCCTCCAGATTTTTCAAAATCGCTTGATACCCTGCAAAGAGAGATTGAATTGCCTAAAACGCCTGATTTTCTCGATAGACAAACATTACATCTCGATGACGATGATGACGACCAAATTGCTAAGAGTGACAATGACAAACATGTCAAATTTAGTGACATGGACGATAATCCTGTCGTAGGAACGACAGCAGGCTACTCGAACCCGCAGTCTCCTATCCTTTCAGGTAAAATAGTGTAGTATGGCCGAAATGATGATTATGGGCCTCGTAGCTTACAGTGCTTATAATGTTTTGATAACTTATTCAACAGGAAGTTCGAGAGGCAATAGCCCGATACCTAATAATTCTGTTGTGTTGCCTAAAATCTCATCACGAGGTATGTCTAGACTACGATTCCTACTAGTATTCATTGGAAGTTTTGCAGATGTGCTCCATTTATAATCCCTTTAAAAATTATTGAAATATTCATACATATGCTGACCAGTGATAGATATAGATGACAATAAATTAGTAGATATTTATTGCTAGTTTAAAATAGAGGTGAAGAATAAATTACTAGATCTTGATTGCTAGTCTAAAATAGATGAAAATAAATTATTTTATCTTCATATAGATGAAAAATAAGTTACTACTGTTTCGTTATTTCGTCTTTTTTGTTTTAATTGGTGGATTATCTTAATTACAGATAATAGTCCACATGGACCAAGAAGCTCAGCGCCATCTGATGAAGGTCGGAAACTATCGAGCAACGGTGATGATGCGATAGCTAAGCGATTAGCAGCATTGAGGAAAGGATCCAAAATCGGAAGTGGTGAAAGTAGCCATGATTTATTGAGCTCGCAAAATGGTCTTGAGCAGAGGCTAAAGGATAATAAATTGATAGATGACGATGCAGATGCCGATAGCAGCAAGGGCAGCTTAACCGAAGTACCAGATATCATACAGCAAAAGTTAAAGGAGCTTAAATTAAAGAATCGATTGGATAATCCTGGAGATAATTCATCGGATATCGATCAAGGCGATAGTAGGCGCAATAGCAGTGTATATAGTTTAGGATCACTAAGGACAAACCAAAGGCCAGGTGCATTAGGCTCTGCTAGTAGTGGTTACGCTAGCGAAGGAATTTCACATTTGCCGTCCACAGCTACTGATCCAATCCGTGTTTTACCAACTCTGGGTAATGATAGTGACAAAATAAATAATGTAAGTGGAGCAGTTAAAAGCAGTTTACAATCTAGATTAGCTCGACTTCGATCCAATCTGGATAAGAACAGAGCTGGAAGGCCATACAAGCCTCTTAGTCGTAATAGCAGCTTAAAACAGTTGGCTCTGGCTAATAGCAGTGCCCAGCAAGATTCGACTGCAACACCAACGAGTTTTAGAGCTGAATCCCAAGTAGATCAAGTTCAATCTGGTATAGCAAATTCCAATAATAATGATGATGACCATGGTGATACGTCAAATTCGCCAATTAGCTCGTTTGATTTATTACAAAAATTAAAATCGAACGCTGACAATCATAGTGCAGGCAGCAGACGCAGCAGTTTATTTGATACGGATGGCGGAGTACAGAAAAAGTTAGAAATACTCAAGAATAATCTAAACGATACTCCTGGATATAATAATTACAAACCTAGTAGTGGCAGTCGTATTGGTAGTAGACGCACTAGTTTGTTCGATGAAGAGGAGGATGTTGCTAAGAGATTGAATGATCTACGTAGTAGTTTAAATGATGATAAAGGATTATTTCAATCGTCTTCGCGTCCCTACACTGGCAGTAACATCGGCAGTAGGCGAGCTAGTTTGTTCGATAATGGTGGAGATATTCAGAATCAATTAGATTCCTTAAGGGATAACGCCAGTTCTAACCAGGGATTATATAATTCGCAATCACAAGATCTCTTACAACAGAAACTAGCTGAATTACGATCGACAGCAGCGGTCGAAGGGTAGACCATGACGGCAAAAATAGCCGCAATTAATTAACTTTAATATTTTTTGAATAGAGTATATATACACGCGTATCCAACCTTAATCCAAGCTGGATTTATTGTACGAAAATTATGCAATTATGAGCGTTAAAAAACATACTATAAGTGTAGTATGTCCTGTGGATAATTGTAATCTTATCTATGATCAGCATTTTACCTATTTAAGATGATGCTTGCAAATGAATATGACTATGTCTATTGGAATAATTTTGACACATTATTTTATGTTAATACAAAGATTGTTTAAACAACTGTATAGTACAATGACAACTTGACGAAAGAATTCTAAAATTTTTTGATGAAAAAATCAATTTAATATTATTTCCTTTTCTGCAGCCGTAGTTTATATTAATATTGATAAAGCTATCATGTTAAGCCTAAGATTATTATCTATTCTCCCTGTATCATATATCACCCATAATTATTGGACGAATAGTTCTATTTTCAGGTAATAACTGATAACAATTTAATCTTATGAATGGAAAGAACATTTCTATTCAACTCAAATTGACATGGAATAAGGATAATAAAATGAGCTATGATATTACCTTTGATCTGTTAGATTGTGATTAACTTGAATGGATTCATGATACGCGAGTATTCATGACTAGTAGGTAGATATAACCGCAGAATAACATGATGATGCTCGGAAAGATTGACACTGATGTTTATACACATATCCATTAGTCATGAATCGATATAGTAAACTGACTGATCCATAAGATAGAGATGTGTTCCTACCTGATATCCAGTTTAGCTTAAAATAGGACATCCAACTACTCCTCGACTAGCAAATTGCCAGTTGAAAATTCATCGATTCTACGTTGGTAGATGCATAAAACATGGATTATTTATCAGTTTCACTTATATATTTATAGTAATCCTATTGACACGGAGGACATCATTGCTACTACTTCTGTATGCGATTTTCAAGTGTTCCAAATCGAAATTTGTAACGTGAAAGTTAAATTAACGCGAGGGTCTCAATAAATTTCTACCACTTTTGTGGACATGTTAGTCAACACTTTGTTATTGCACTACGCAAAATTGCTGTCATTAGCTGAAATCACTACATGAACCAACAGAACTTTTGTATTCGTTTAAAGTTACACAACAGTAAAAGAGGTTAGAACTAGCAGTCCAATCGGAAGATAACAACTCATGTCAAATATCGTAAGCAGGACCTTACTTATCATTGCTAGTCTATCGCTTTTAATAATATTGATATGTACTCAGATCGACGAAGAAATTCGATCATGGTCAACGTTTGCTATGAACTTAGAAATTAGTGTTCACCAGCTACTGGAGGAGCAGTTTCAACGCAATGTTTCGTAATATAAGCTTAGCCTAACTAGTCCATCCTTATTGGTGATATTATTTTTGCAACTTGCAGCCCCTGCTAAGCTTTATGCAGTAGAATCTCCAAAATGGCTAACATAAACAGTAAGAAGGAAGTAGTCGTCCACTGTTGTAGCTTGCCTGCAAAAATAATGTTACCAATAACGATGGGCTAGCTAGTGTAAGCTGGTGTTACGATCGCTACTAGGGTGACATTATTTCTGCTAGCAATTTGCACCCGCTTAATCCTGGCCTAGTTGGTTAAAACCACTGACAGAGAATCATGTTTGAGTAGTACAACTCTACTAAGAATTTATGGGAATCTCTCGTTGCTACCATCGTCGGGTGGGTAGATCTCTTCAATTTCCAGTTAAAATCCCATCAACTGGCGCTCACTGTGGCCATCATTCACGAGTAAAATCGATTGCATCGGAAGAAATCAGACACCCATAGCAGGACCAGTTGATCTGATTAAGCCAGAATAGTGTTGTTCTACCAAGTTTAACCGTAGTGGTAAAGTCAAGAATCAAGAGTACGAGGTACTACTTGCTTACACTAGGTTTGAAGTGGGTGTTGACTGGTGTGGCTGTGGCTGCAATCTCTTAAAGTAGAAGTCAGCAAGATCGAGCAGTATTACTGAATAGCCATCTCCGATCCTGTTTATTTACTCAAATATTAGTTGAGGATAGACAATACTACAGTATATACTTTCCAATTGATCTCTATCGTCTGCATTTGATTGGAACTTGAGACAAGGAAAGATTTGCACGTTATTATTATCGCACAAGAAGGAGCAAGTGATTAAATCAATCAACTATCGTCCTGAAATACATAATTATAATGGACAAAACTGCTTATCCTCCATTTACTCTCGGTAAAAGTAGATTTGATCAGGTAAGAACTGGAAATGATAGAATAAACTTATCGCTATTGCTAATAAATTACGACTCCCAAACGATTCATCATAGTAGAGTACACGCCATATACTGTACATTTCTACTGCAACATCATCTACAGTACTTGCAGTATCAGTGGATGTCTAATAAACGGATTTCTATTAAAAAGTTGAACGCTAGAGTCATATTGTGCCTTTATTTAGCACTAGTAGAACATTTTGGGCATGTGAGACCGTTTCTACTTTGATTTCTACTACTTTTCGATCGAGTTCACTCTTAATTTACGGCTTAATCAAGGACAGATTACGTCGTTAAATTTGTAAACTATAGATGCCTTATTTTTCCAACTGATATTAGAGCATTTACAGAGGACGATTAAAATTTGAACTTATTCCACACTTAGCTTTTAAAGCAATGTATAAAATGACTGACTTCATTGGCTCTATTAGTCGACATTTTTAGGTAGACTGCGCCATTTCTTAGATGTAACCGATCCAAGAACATTATTCGTGAGTGAGGTAAGATAAGATTGAAAATGAACTAAAATCAGTCTTTTAGGTATATATATAATTAATAAAAATCAATGTGTTATAATAGATTCATAGTGTAAACGACTGCATCTACTACATTATTTGGATTCGATTTTTGCTTCGATTTATGCTTCTATAATTTAAGATATAATTATCAACGTACTGGATATGAGTACGATAATTTAAACGAAGCAAAGTATTTAGCTGATGTATATAGAATGCTAATAATTTTACTTTTATGCCTTCACACACTCAACCTCATGATGCAGAAGCAACTTCAGGACTCTATTAAACTATTAAATGAATACAAGATAGGCAAGCTTCCTGATGGGGTTACAAATGAGCAAGTAGGATAACAACTTATTATTAACATAATAATAATCTAGAGAGATTCTTCACATTTATCGTTGACTTTGTCGATAAATCTACTTAATTGCCAACGATATTTGGTTTGACATTAATCAATATCATTTTTAATGAATTATTAGCTATGGAAGGCTCAAAAAATTAAACAGGTACTCAAGGTTTTTAGATAATTATCAAATTTATGGAAGTAAATATCTAGTGTATTCTATGATTATGATGTTGCTAAAAGTTATAAGATGTAGTAGGATGATAGATGGCATCTAACATCTTTACATCGCAGCCTTGACCTTTACTATTTATAATTCCTTGCTTTACAGGCTATAATTCACCCAGATACCAATGAAAAAATATTCATGCCATTTAGAATGTCGGGTAAATTATTATTATTACTTATTGAAATAATAGACTATTTATGCTATATAGGAAAAAATAGATAATTAATATTATGGTCATATCATCGACGATAATGAACAAAACTGCTTTCTTGATTTGCTCTTCTGCGCAGGATTTGTCCCATTTGGTACTCCGATTGTAAGACTTCAAATTAATTCTACTGCTTTTAATCTTGTTGATAAAGTGTCTGTATACATTTATTACTCTTGATGTAATCTTTCTTTAAATATAAAACATTACTCCTAATTGATACTGCTGCTGCATTAGGTAGTCGGATTATTACTTCCAAATCCCAGTATGAAATCAATCATTTTTTGGCAGGTTGGTATAAATAATTGCTTTTGCTTTCATTTGAACACTCAGTGTATATAAAAATTGACAATTTATGATTTGCTTTGTTTCATTCTGTAGTGGTTAAATCAAAGTCATAATGCTTGCGTTAATTATGCAAATCGTAACGCTAGTAAAGTAAGTGATATCACATATTTTTGCGTAGTGGAATCAACGCTGTATCAGTCTAGCTGCTAACAAATGTTCTAATTCGTATGTTGATTGCTAGCCAACTCCAACAAGTGAATTTGTTGCCGGTTATTTTGCAGCAATTACGAGTGCGATAACCATAGCGGTAAGTGGAGTTAGTGATTATTTAAAGGATTTATTAATCGGCTAGCTTATCGTCACTGTTTTGTGACTGCAAGTATCTTATTTTGCTATTGGATCGTAAGATAGATGCTATACGTCTAATACATTTTATTGCTATCTAACTTTTACACTCAAAAAAATGCGCTTATATCTTCCTTTCATTATCATCTTTACAATTACAGCTCGGTTTAACGGCAGTAATTAAAAGAGCTGATCGTTTTAGTCCTGCTACTCGCAATGCTATCCAGCGTTTTGTGCCATTCCCAGCTGTGGGTAATGTTGATATTTATACACTTATAAACAGACTTGAAGTGATATGATCTACCAGTGGAGATTAATTCGAAAAAACCTTTAAACCCTTCAACTACAGTAATGCAGGGTGCGTATATCGTTTCTGATCGACTATCTCTTAATTTGACTATAGCATCTGCTAGCGTTTGCAATGTTCTATTCATGAGAAGAAATGAATTATCTCGTGGAATTGAAGTAGTAGATAAAGATGGCAATACAGTTGGAACTTCCAAAATTGCTGCTAAAAAGGTTTCTTGTGAATTTGTTGCGCTTATCAAACGAACCATTAATAGAATGATCCTTTAAAAATCCTAATTAGGCTTTAGTTGAAATGGCCTGCACACGTGCGTTCTTGCCTGCTCCTATTTTATTACTACCTACAATTGCAATGCAACTTATGGAGAAGTAATAACGCATTCTAGTCCTCGTATTTTCGTTGCATTAGTTTGATCCTAGTATACGTTGATTTTCAAGACTGTTGATATTAATAAGTTTGCAACGGTTTATCATAACAGAACCAGATTTTTAAAGGCCAATCCACGTTTTCATTTGCCCCTGAATGCAATCTTTTGCACCATATCGTTTGGACTAGCTTTACCGCTAGCCATTAGCCTATTTCCTCAAATGTCTTCGGTAAGGATAGCATTTCCGACATGTATTTCAATAGGTCCTTAAATATTTAGTAGATAATCACTAGAATGCATTTTAAGTGGTGTGATACATTGTACTATGAATAGATTGAAACTGAAAAACTTGAAGAGAACGTTCGAAATCAGGTAAAAGGAGAAAAGTTTTTATATTACAACAAAGGATTGTAAATTTTTGAGCAGATGATAGGCAAGAAAAAACGATATTGCGCCCGATACATATCGCATGTGAAGCACTTTAATTCAGCTTTACATCAATATGCAGGAACACAGCAAAGGAATAAAATAACTCTTTTTATTAATCGTTTTAATTGGTAAAAATATAGTTACATTGACTTACTAATCGTATTAAGAATAAAACTGAATAGATTACGGCCACTTTAATCATGAAATATTTGGGCTAATTGATCAGAATAAGTAGGTGGTAACGTACAGAAACAAAAAAAATCATTATTTTACAATGCAAGAAAACAGTAGCGTTATTCTCTAGGTGTGATTAAACAACGATCGATCTTGAACGATGAAATCAACTCCTATAAGTAAATACAGAAAATCGATTAAAGTCAGGAACGTAGAGTCTGTTGAGAGCAAAATTAAAACTGGTGCAATGACTAACCTGCCAAGTGTTGTGATCAAGCGAAATTACAGTTTGTTTCTTGTTACAATTTTCACTTTCGCTCCTATCTACTGTTTGCAACGGAACTAAGATTAACAACAATTTAACGTTAATTATTAGTGATGACCATTGAATAATAGATTGTGTTTAATAAGCCTTAAAAGAAGGCAAAATTTGTAAGTTGCCGAAATACCAATCTTAGGAATATTGTTTTCTACAGTTATCTTGACCTTTCCATCCTAGGGTTTAATGTAATAGATTTAACGTATTAATCATGCTAGTAAAAACTCTTTTATCGTTTTTTATTTACTTAATGATGATCCGTAATAACTATTCAAGTTACTGGCTAAATCAGATTTAATGTAACAATGTAGTTGAAGAAGAAAATTGCCAGCTTACTCTGATTAAAAATGAAATGTGAAATAAATTTTCAACAGTCCGTCCGAAGGATGTCGGATCAATAGCAAAGTTGAAGAAATTGATCGGTTGCGGTTTATTGCCTGATGGTTGAAATCAAAGTGTAATGAATAAGGATTGATTCTAAAGTACTATTTGATATTCACAGGAACATGAACTATAGCATATCATATCTACGGCATCAAGGTAGCAAAATTATACTAGAAAGTTGTTATAATGATACATTAATGAAGTATTTTCACCCTGGCGATAAAGATGAGATAGTATGTTGTATATTCTATGAACTTCTAGAGTAGTAGATTCTTTCTCAGTTGCATTTGGATCAACCTAATCAATTTAAGTGAACCACAAATAATAATGTCGATAAATTTCAAGCCAAAAAATTGTATTGACGCTGAAAAAATTGTCAAGTTGTGAGCTATATATTTAAGTTTACAGCCATTACATCAATTATTGTGTGTAATACTGTAATAATATTTTAAAAAGTATCGGAAACTGCACGTAGTAAATAATGCATTCTAAATAAACAAATACAGATTAGGATATATTTTGCGAAATAGTGCTAACATTTGCAGATTATCCATATTTTTACAGTATCATTAATAGATTGAGCCAGGTCAATGCAGTAATCTAGCATGTTTGGTATGATTTAAAATTGCAATACCTCCTTCGGTCGCACTACTGCATTCGGAATAACGGCTTCTTTACGTGATGAACGATTGCTTTGCTTTTTAACCCGAGGCTGTATTTTGGCAGGACCATACCTTTTATTATAAAGAAGATATCGAGTACTGTAAATTTACATATTACCACGTGAAATACGGTAATCTTTTAGCATAGCACAAAAGTAAATTGCAATATATTTAATTCTGTACGTTGACTTATGGCCTGCCACAGTAACAAATGCATAAAATGACTTGTTATTACACCTACATTTCTTCAACTACTGTACATACAGTAACTAGCATTTCGACCTACATCGTATTGACAGCGGGTACACTTCGAAAACATCGAAGACATCTTCTACCAAGTTTCGCCCAATCTAAGGGCATTTCCTGACTGTCACTGACACTATGGTTAAAGTTATGAGGGGACAAGTAGGTTTTCTAAATGAAACAGATCATGAGCCAGTTTTAATATGGAGGATCATAGAACTGAAACCCTCTGTTTTAGTGCCATAGTAACAGAAAATCATCTAGAGTAAACTTGCTTCGTTTGAAAGCGAAACGGCATTTAATAACGATAATATAAATTTAGATTCGCTCAAATTCATTTAATAGTAACACAGTGATAAGCTGCATGTAATTCATACACTATCTGCAATTACGAGTATCCTCCGATACATCGCCCATCATTAAATTACAAATTTGACTATTTTTATTGGAACAGAAACAAAGGCGAGAGTACAATGATTCAAGCATTCCTGATCGATCTAGACCTTACCAGGGTGTTAATGAAGGCATCAGTATCGAATACGTTGCCTTCATTACTGACATTCTGGGCTTGTTTCCTGGCTATTTTGCTAGCGGCAACTAATAGCTGAGAATCCAGCACTGCCTCTCGCGTCCGATTCACTAATATTGAAATAACAATCAGAATTTAATTTAAACTACTATGGTCACAGATATTGATACTACTTTGTAAATTTAAAATTTGTATATTTTTATATTGAAGGTACTGTACTTTTCATCAACATCAGTATCAACAAAATTGCATCTGCTTTTACATTCAGAGGTAACAAATGGTTGTTTAGGCATTAATAGCTTGACTAGAATAGCTATAGGGTAAGCTTACCTCCACGGATTAAATTGGCAGCTTTTTCTAATGTCTCCTTAATACCAGACGAACCTGGCTGGGCATACTGTTCCATATTTTCTATGTAGAATATACGCGTATAATACAATATTATGAGTCCATTTCTGCATTAATATCATTTCGCATATTACAGAAAATGGGCCATTTACAGTAGGTCACTGTCGCAAATGTCATTTTATGCAGCTTCCATTCATGCTGCACTTAATTAATTTACAAAATAGAGTACGAGAGGGAGTACACTATCCAAGATTTTAACTATCAAACTGTACAATCTAAAGTAGAGAGTGTTTTCTGACGTTGATCATTATCGAGACAACGAGAACGGATGGATTAGAGTCCAAGGGCGACCTATTCGGTAGTCGCTGGTCTACAGTCCTATACCGGATGTATCAGCAAGTCGTTTTTCATATTATATTGTCAACAGAATTACTATAGACCTTTGACGATATCACGAAATTAAATACTATCGCAGTTTACAGGTGAAAGGAACACAGGACTTTGTAGAATCTCTTTCACCGAGGGCGGCTACACTATTTAATTTAAATTAATAAAGTTCGAACAGTTCAATTGACAGCAAGTAGTGCTTACTAAACTGCCAAATAGCAAGTAATATTGGACTAAGCTTTAGTCACTGCAGCTACAAGGATGCAATATCATGACTGCTTTTGCAAGTGGTTCAGTAAGTGATTGATCCTTGATCAATTCATGAAGAAAAGGCAAACACTCTTAACTCTTGCCATGGATTGCCTCGACGAGCTCATCCTATCCCTGGCAACAACATTGGCAAAAGTGCAGTCCAATCATATTCTACTTACGTTCAACATGTTCGATCATACTACGATATTCCTGTCTTAACCGTCGATATTGTTCATCTTCGATGGAATCGTTTTGCTTTACACTCGATTCACTCATGGTCCTTGCAATGAGGCCTTTAAGACGCCACTACCAGTCGATGGGAATGTTCACGATGCACCTTTGCTATTTCTCACACCTCCCTTCGTATTAGCGGGTGGTTTACTTTTGCCTGCGTACCACTCAGCAACTCTCTCTACCTTTCACTCTTGCAACTCACTGCAACTCTTCAGCATCAAAGACTAAACAACTACCTTTGGATTGTGGACAGTCACCCTTAGCTGCAGTAAAAGCAAAATTGGAGATACTCTTTCCGTTTCCTAAGCTGTAGTAAAAGCAAAATTGGAGATACTCTTTCGGTTCTCAGCAATAATATTGGATTTGCTGGGTATAATCAGCATGCAGGAAAAGAGGGAAAAAGTCTCAGGTCCAGCAGTCGACTGACTACCTTGTAGCTTCTCCAGTCTATGGCCTAGTCCCGTACCGATGTTAGGGACAGCAAATTTCGCCACTTACAGTATAAGGTACTGTAGAATATAGTACAATGTACAGTGGTTTACAGTACCATACAATACTGTGGACTGTGGAGCACTCTTGGACGGACAGACATTGTTTGCTTCATCTCGTCAAAATAATGTGCCAAACGCCTGGTTATGACACTACTTTAGTATGGTGACGATCGTAATATTACATTGCATCTTATTCGTTGTTACTAAGTTCTGCTGAAGTTCTGCTAAGAAACAGTTATATAACATGGTAGATGTTATTGAAATGAGCACTAGAAATTGAGAAAACAAACACTTAACCCTTTTTCAATATTGACAGCCCATAAAGTTATTTGTGACAGCCTAATTTGGTAAAGAAAAGTCCGTCTGTCCGAGGGAGTGATCTGTCTGTCCAGGTCTTCATCTAGTAGTCCAGTCCAGAACGGTAGTCACTGCATACCTAGCTACGGGGGAAAACAGCCTCTTTCACTACGGTCTCTCACTGAAACTGTGGAGGTAAAACAAACAATGTTTCATACAAACATGGAATTCTGGAGAGAAGTTCTTCTTCTAGTAGTCCATAGTATAGAACTGAAACTGTAGAGGTCTTCAACACCCCTAATCTTAAATCGTGATTTTAGTAGTCCCATATGGCCTCAATGATATTCTTGTTATTGAGTTTATTTAGGGCCAGCACACACACACTAGTACAGTACAGTACTGTACACTGTACTGTACTGCACACTGTACACTGTGCACTGTGCAGTGCCGTACGATGAAACTGGGCATCCATCTGACTGTCTGATGAAGAGTGCTAGTCGAGTTGCCAGGCAACAGCAACAGCAAGGCCGGCTTTAGCAACGACGCTATTTTCGTGTACTAAATCGTCTAATTGCTAAGTCAAATCGTGGATCAATACTCGAAATGGAGCCTGTGTTTAGAACTACACACACAGACTGATGGAAGCATAAACAAGGATACCATACCAGCGTTCTAGACTGTTATTTCAATTTCAAAAGCAAAAAATTGGCCTTGCCAGGAACAGTGCTGATCTTACCTATTAATATACGATCTTTAAGGAGTAAAGAGGCGAAGAAGATTTTCCGATATATTCCACGAGATTCCAAGAAATACAACGATGGCATTTTTTAACGTAACACGACTCGGTGTTCAGGATCCAGTTAAAGCTTCGTTAAGAGACGAGAAGGAAACCCAAGATATCTATGATACTAAAAAGAAAACCCTCAAGGTCGATGTTAGTACAGAAAGAAAAACGGCCATAAAATTGGATTCCTCCGAAATTTATAAAGATAAAAGAAGGCGTCATGAAAGATCTCTTCTCGGTAATAAAGAAATTTGTGTAATCCTACTCATAGATTGAATAGTAACAGCGCTGTAATAAATGTAGCTTCTTTAGTACTCTAGTCTATCGGTCATCGGTCACGAGAAACGAATAAAATAATAACAGAATTGAAGTAAAACATTATTAAAATGGAAATACAATTAAACATTATGGATTACTTATTTCCATTAAATAAATAATGTTGCGTTCTATTTTTTAAATAATTGTAAAATATTGCGTCAATACTGTCGATACTGCTATGTCCACTTGCTAGTAAACCCTCTCAGTTGGCAATACAGTCACAAATACAAACTTGAGCGGTCAAGCACTGCTTTATTGCGCTAATCAAATAGGTTCACAACTCTTAGCGATTCCCATGTTAGAGTACAAACAAGTAATTACAAGTCTATTCGTAAATTCATTATACATAGGACCGAAAGAAGTTTATCAAACCCCAATGACGACATCGCAGGAATATGGATGGCATGATAATAATGAAAAGGAACCTTGGATGCAATCGAAGCGCCACGTTCACGTAAACAGTGAAATGACAAAGTAAGCAATTTATATCATCAGATTTCAAACTTTCCCAAATACATTAGCAAGACGTACATTGAACTCTTTGTTGAGTTAAAATATTTTTTTGATGCTGTCAGTTATACTTTCTCATTAAGTTTAGATTTATGCTTATGCACTTTACTATTATCTTTTACAAAACCAAATTAAGAGTCATTAATTGGACATTTTCTTAATATACACAATGTTGATTCTCATTTTAGGTTTGTAAAATCAATGGCTCTAACAAACAGAGACTTTTCCTTATACTAAAATGACTAGCAATATCTATCAAATTCAGTAATGTTTTAAACTATTGGATAATCCACATGCCACATACTATTTTCTCCTGTAATAACTGGGAGAGAATCGCAATGGCGATGTATTTATCAGTAATGATAATGTAAAAAATTTTGATCGAATCATGAATTATTCAGCAAGTTTTAATTTGTAGTCTGTAATAGCGAATGTCATTTGTCGACACTATTAATTAGTGATAGATAGCGTACTTTTGCATCGTACAATGTTGTAGTCCTTCTATGAAGAGTAAAATTATTAGGCTTGTGCAATGGGTAAATTAGATACATTTAACTTAATACGATCATGTGATTGTGTCACATTGGATCACCTTTTATAATGGATAAGTTTTACCATCATAAATGCATACTCTAATGAGAATAATATTTCAATTAATTGTATACTATGTGGATATATCGATATTGTTGATTTGAGTAAATGCGAAATTTACTGATTGTTCTGTTCCACAATTCTTTCCGAGAATAAATTAAGTCTAAATAGTATCACTTGAAATAGACTTAAAAATGATATAATAAAGCGTAATGCATTACTTTGTGTTATTAAAATACAGCAATTTTGCAAATTGAGCTCTATTAATATTAATCTTCTTATCTTTCCTCCTTCACTATTATATTCACGAAGGTAACGATGTCAAGGCCTGCTAACTAGTTCATTCCGCTATTAACCGCAACAAATTACTTTAAACTACTGCAACTGATTTAGAAAGTGTTTGTTTTTAAGTTATGGTCTATGATAAAACGCAATCCAAGATAACTAACTGACATCATTCGTAGTAAAGTAATAATAATAATGCGGTAATGCAATGATAACTTCTTTCAATAATTACTCTATAAATTTGTCACATAAATAATTTTAAATCCATATAATACCGATACGCACACATGCCATTGTATGGCATTAAATGTTAGTTAGATACTATCAGATATCATCTTTCACATGCTCGTAAATTATTACAATGTAATATCATTCTTTATAGATCACTTTACAGGTATTAAAATTTCGTCATCGTAATAAATCGTGGTTAAATAGTGTAATTATCACTTAAACGAAAGCTGTAACTAAACTCTATTATTACTGTATACAATTCTGAAGCGTTTAAAGTACTAATCCAGTACTATGAAGGCTTTAAGTTAGTTTACTATACATCTCAGCGTATAATAACAGCTCTTTTACCATATTAAGGGATTACCAGATTATGCCCATTGACAGTGGTAGCTTAATAACTATCAAGGGTGATAAATGAGAATAATTATTCTCTATTCTCTGCTAGTGCGTACCGTATCAAATCTAAGTCAATCTATGGTTAATGATATTAGTCATACTATAAATTAAATATGGTGAATTTTAATAAAAGCTTGATTCTACTTTTATGCAAGACTTCTATTTTGAACAATATAACAATATCGCGTTCGGTAAATTGCCAATACGAAGTCAAAAGTCATTGATAGTACCATCACTCAGTTCTGGTTGAAAATTGTGCGCGGACTCATGACATTACTCTTCATGCTAATATGAGCAAATCCATAAGCTGACCAAGTTGTTTGGTAATGTCTTTTCATTTGAAGATAAGCTGATTTAGTTTCCAATTCTATGATAACTTGTAATCGTGGCCGAAAGTACTTAAAATTTGTGTTGATACGTGGCCATTATCGCCGATATTGATCAAGATCTAGTCAAATCTGTAGAAAGTAATGAAAATTTTTGGATTATGAGCATAAAATCGAGGAAATACCAGAATTTTATAGGATCGCCCAATAGAAACCGACATACCTACTGATGAAATCCGTTCAAGCTTATGGGTATCTGAATACGTATGATACAATGATGAAATCTTATGAATAAAGCTGCATGTCTGTTTGCCGATAGACAAGCTTTATTTATAAGGTTAACGGATTTCGAAATATTATTTATTCTGAATCTGTACCAGACGCCATTTTACTTGAAAACTTACCAATACGGAATTTTTTTAACTTTGAATGGCCTACGTGGCGCTGTTCATAGGAATGAGTAAATACAAAGGGTATGAGCCATGGTAATCGTTGCAATCATACATTGACATGTGTACAGTTGCGATGATTGTGCAATCTGTAACTTCACACTCGAGATACTTGATTGCCCATAAGCTTTAATTTTGTTTGAATACACTTAATGCAGCTATGTATTGATTGTAGAGTAGCAAATGCAAAAACAGACTCTGCAGTTAAAATTGTTTTGGAAACTACGAGTAACTTAACTTTGAATGAGGGAACCTTTATATTTCCGGATTTAGATTAATATCATAGTAGGAGATGTCACTTGATTAAAAAATATAATATAAGCGATATAGCTACTATTTCATCAGGCATATTTCAGGTTGCGGAATGTCTTTTAATATTCCTGCATTACGATCTTCTCGTATACGTGTATCAACATAGTACTTACCAGTTAGCATATTGTACAAATATTAAACCTTGGTAACGAACATTTTATTACTTTTTAATTGTTATCACATGTACGGAAAGTATGCATTGATAACAAAATCGAATTTTTATGTAAGTTTTCTATAAAACAGAAAGTTGCATTTGCTTGTAATTTTTCAGAGTTTGCAATCGATAGAATTGATTAATGACATTCTATGCAGTATGTTTGAATACAGAAACGCGATTACCCTCTATCTTAATTTTTTTACATTTTTTAATCCACTTTTTAAACAATTCATCACGATCTAGGGCACCACTAGTTCGGGAATGATCACCACTTTCATCTAAAATGGCAAATACCTGTACCACAATATAATATTTGTTTTATTTACTTATCGATTGTAAAAATAACCAAATAGGGAAATTGCAATACACATTTTCTTAAAAGAAGTTTACAATTTAAATTAACTTGTAACCTTTTTCTTTAAATGTTTCATGGAAATAGAGCCCTTTTCGGTACTTTTTACAATTCGCGATATAGTCTTTTTCCAGTTAAATTTCTCTGTGTGAGCTATTATTATTAATAAATAGTTAGAGTGAAGTAATGAGGTGAAATCAGCCTAGGTGAAGGTATAAAGGATGAGATTCTTACCATTTGAAGAATCTCCATTTTTGTTTGTCGTCAGTGTATCAATACTGCTAGATGAAATATTTTTACTTTCAGTCTTTAATTTCTTACGTTTCTCAGCTGAATAGGTATCATCGGAGACAGGCGAAACTTTCTTTTTCTTCCCATGCTTAGAGCTATCTTCACCGTTCTCTTTTAGTTTTCTTTTTTTCGCCTTTCTATTTTCTTTATCAGGCTCGGCAGATGTGTTGGGAACGTGGGATGAGGTCTCAACATTGCTTGAAGATTTTTCCTTTTTGACCTCTATCAAGTATCAATAATGACAGCATTAGGCACAGTATTTACAGTTAGAGATACAGTAATCCCCACGAATGATAACGACATACTTTTAGTCTTTTTTTCTTCACTTATAGCATTAACAGGTAGTTCTTTGGGTAAGTCTACAGCTTCTTGTCTTGCTGGAGTGGTCACTTGACCTTTTTCTTGTGGTTCTGCAGAATCTGGAGTACCATTCTAATAGATAAACGTTAAATTAGCAAAAGATATTGAATCATTACAGGATGACAAGCTTGGCAATAGACATGAATTCTTGCATACCATCGATGCAGCAAATAATTCCCAGACTTGGTTCAGTAAAGCTTCATTATAAACTTTGACACTATTCTTCATGAAATTCTACTTTAACAGAGAATATCAAAATTGGGCGTAGGTTAATTTTAGCGTGATCTGAGAGAATCGTATCGTTGTCGAATAATTATTAAGAGCCATGTAGACAAGTGTGGTATGCTGTTGCTTTCTATGATGCAGTATAAATGCAATTGCCAGAATGGAGCTACCATTTATTACTTTCTTTATTCGCTAGGCAATAGCGTCTTTTTTATGAATGGATGCAATAGACTAGAGTATAGTTCAAATAGCTCAAAACACATCCTTTTAGCAATTTGCACTTACAATAAATTTCTTCTTCTTTCTCGGTACATTATCAAAGTTGGCAATTTTTTGTATGATTGAATTGATACGAGGATTGGTAGAATTCTTAGAGGCAGTCATCGATTGAAGGTTCTACATAAAACAACATAGTTGTCCCATGTTAGAATGAGATGCATCTTTGCACATACAGTTAGGAATCCAAGTCAGTGATAGCAAGAGCATCGCCATGATACACACAGTAAGTATGTTGCAAACAAGTCATTTTGGTGTAGTATCATTACATCTAGGCATGATTTAGTATGCCATCCGTGTATCCAGTTCTCATCCTCGATATATATTGTAAGCCCATGCATGCATTCATTCATTCTAGAGCTGACGTAGTTCGTATCCCACATTGCAAAATACTCTTACCTTAGTCCAATCCAGCTGTTTCTTTTCACCTTTATTCACTTTATCCTTGGCTTGAAAGAGTTTCCCTTGATATTTTTCAGCTTCAGATATACATTTGGTATGATTAGTATAGCTATCACCGTAAAAACTCTGACCACAGTCCATGCAGGAAAGGGAAGAGCATCCTGAACATTGCATTAGATGCTTTTCTACCTTGTTCTTCTTGACGCTTTCCCCACATGCATTGCATGTAAACGCTACCATTTTCAACAACAATTTCCTTGTGTAACGACTCAATCAATTGGAGACTTGTACTGCTGCAATGATCGCAAGACGTCTATCTAAATGGATCCTAGATTGAATAAGATCGCAGATTTCTGATCGTGAAGTACACCTCAGTATGGAGAGATGTCCGCGTTGCTGATGATTTAATTTTCAAACACTGCACTCATTGCTCGGTTGTCAGGTCAACGCTGACTAGGCGATACGCTCTTCATAGAGCGTCACATTGACTACTGTATGAGTGTATTGATAGGGTGTTGGAAAGCAAGCATGGACATTTGGACACTGGACAGGCATAACTTTAGCGAGAATCAGCAGTCCTCGCTAGTCCTAGCCGCTACCGTGGTGGGACTTCTTGTTTGCTTACTCGTGATAGAGGGAATGAATCAGCGCTGTTGCTGTTTATCTGCCTCTACACAGCTATTCCTAGGTGTTATTCGTTTATTTTTGGATATACTCGTATCACTCATGAGAGGGAGTGTTTTCCATTTCTAGCAACGAGTAAGTGAAGAGTAAAGGCATGGCTCTTTTACTGCTTCATTTGTATCGGGAGGCCTCTTCTTGTTCTGGTCATTCTACTATGGCGCAGAGCGGAAACCGAACATCATATAGACCACCATGCAGGTTGCTGATATCCGAAACAAGAAAGAGACGGACAGAGGACGGTCGTTTCAAGAGACTACTCTCTGCAATCATCATGAACTGCTTGCTTTGATTTTCTTTAGTAAGATAGACGGTTTCCGGGGTAGCGTCTTTTACTAGAATGACCAGAAGAAGGATGAGGCCATTTACGATTCTTACTTATACTGTACAGCCATGCACCAGTGCATAAGACTACTAAATTTACATCGGAGTGAATTTGGTGCATTGAGTAGTCTATGACCATCATGATTAACCAGTGCTTTAGCTATGAGCATTATTCACGTCACCTTGATCGATTCTTCCTTAATAGGCAGTAATGTATTCTTTGAGCCGATAGCATCACTTTGTAAGACACTATTTTTTCTTCTATAGAAGTTATATCAGTTCTACCGTCCGTATGGTCAGTACAGCCAGTACAGTATCCAATAGATGACTACACCTGCGCAGCATTGCTCCACCCACCTCCTATTGTATTCCAATATAGCCGTTACATTCTATTGTTCCGATTTAAATTTCAAAAATTTTTCATTGATTAATTAACCAAATGTATATATACAATCGAATTTGAATGCATGCGCTCGTGCATTAAAAACTGCAATGTGAACATGAAATCGACAGTAACTGTCCATTATCGCATTTGAAAGTGGTATAGCGTATTCTTATTGACTAGATCTTCAAGACAGTGACTGCTACAGAGTCGAAACTTGTTATTTTGATCGGGAGATATCCAGCTAGAAATTCAATCAGTAGCACTACGCCTTATTCAAGACGATCGATAGATAGTTGGTGTGTTTCTTGTTTTTTTTGCTTGTACTGCGATTCTTATCCTTTTTCATCGAACCAAGCCAAACGTCGTTGTAAGTGTGCTTCAATGATGAATTGGGCATGTTGTTCATGCTTGTTGTACGATGTTATGCAATACAGTAATAGAATTATCGATTTTTACTAGTGCAATAATACGTAACCAATTAAATTAGTGGTATGTAAATTGGATCAGTGAGTATTTCGACTTGACGAAGGATATCTGCTGTCGTTCTTTTTAATCGTTAACATTGGTATCTTGTTTTTTCCCTTCTACAGTACAGACGTAACGCAAGGAAGTAAATATGAATCAAGCTTTTCAACAGAGTGGTGAAAATGAAAATACTTTCATGCCCATCAAGTCCGTCACCGACACGGTCTATTCGCCCAATGGTAACAGCATGAATGGCTTTCATAACGACTCTTCGGCTAACAAATCTATCTTGAAGCCAAGTAACAACATCAATCTACAACCAAGTAAAAAGGTATTCCATTAATCTTAAAAGTATCTTATTTAGCGTAATATAGATAGTAGTTGAAATTGCAGTGTATTTAACATTTCACTTCTAGTTACTGTAAGAAAATAGTGTAATCTTCAGATTGACATTGTGCCCTACTTTTTACAAGTACAACACATCAACGTACTGTACTAGTAGCAGGTAATACCATTAGATAGTCAATATTTGTTATAATTATTATTATTATTTCAATTTTAAAAGTACCCCAATCACATGGGTGCATTAACCAGTTTAAAACGCACTACTGCTACTATCCTGTTAAAAGCGAAAGATGATACCAGATCACCGTTGGTCAGTATCATACAGCAATAGTAACGCTTTTGGCAATAATACTCTACAGTTGATTTCAAAAGGAGTCTATCAAGGACGGCACATTTAAAGTGCCATGATGTACGTTATAATTATGATCAACCTTTTCTAAGCGCAAAAATGTCTACGGTACTATATGCAAATAGAATTGAAAAGATTCAGAAGAAACCCTTGAAAACTCCATGTGGCAGTGGGCACGAGATACCAATATCATTGGATAGTTCATACCTAGACCATACCAACTTATACAGTAGACTAAACGCTCGAATAGAGTCTAAAATTTTCCTTTTCAATGTACAAATTAAAGTATGCCCATCGGGACGAGTACTATACTTGTACACAGTAGAATTATTATAAATTAATTATTTACTACATAAAACGGGTGCGCATTCTTTACTTATGTAATTATTAACAGTTAGCAAAATGTTCTCTTTGATTGAATTCAATTTTAAACGATCAGCATTCACCCATTGGAAGGTAAAATGTACTTGCTATGAGTGTTGTCTTTTCTCATCTATATTTATAATACGAGTTGGCTATACACTATTGATAAAGACTCTATGATAATGAAAAAAGTTGTAATCAATATTCTGATTGTCACATTTTATATGCACATATGTATACAAATGGATCGCCATGACATGAAATTGTAAGCAATTTTTAGTATACAACCCAATATTCAGTATCTTTCACATAGTACATGTATTTTGTTTATTGATATAACCACATGAGCAGATAAAACATTTCAACTTGGCAAACAGGGTTACTGTATTTTATTGACTGGAAGTAAATTTCAGTGGTCTATGCTATGCCACTATCATTTGATTACACGCCTTGAATTTATTTTTATTCATGAGAATGATAGTTGATAATTTACAAGAGCTTTCCATGTGTAAATTATATTAAAAAAATTATCTAATTTCAAGTTGCAATTTATTTAATAAGCCATTAGTAGGAAATGTATATTTTACTTAACAAGACCGGTAGAAAGTATAATAGGCTTATGAACTAGTCATTATACTGGTATGATACAATGATTGCAATAATTTTGATTATCTTGGTAATTTGCAGCAGAAGTAGGAGAATACAATACAGTTATGTACTTGATGGAAGCAATGTGTGAAAGTGAAACAGTTCTCTGCCTTAGTGTAATGCATTACTGTAGGACATATCGATATTCTATTTTTTATTTTCAAGGCTACCAGTAGGCAGCTACTAGAATGCTAAACACGTAAAAAAAAAAAGTAAGATTGAAAGTTCATTTTTAGTCCTATTGATCTAATCGTCTACCGCGAATGAATAGTATACAAGTATTTACAGTACAGTCAGTAGTGGACATTAATAGTCATGAGATTGTAAAATAATAAATTCTTGGAGGTAATTTACCAAGTGAGATTACCGTAGCAGTATTTATCGCTGCTACTTATTCCTGGCAGTTTTTCGATTTTTAAGAATATTATTATTTAATTCAGTGGTTAGATTAAAGGGATAAAATCCATATATGATGGATAAGCAGTACAGTATATAAATGATCGGTGGTGAAATCCAATCCTTGGCCGAACCTATGCGTGCATACTGTAGCTGTATCATTTGTCATGCTGATTCCTGTCTCTACCATTACTGTACACTGTACAGTATGTCAATGCTATCGATTCGATGTCAACTTGCTGATTGTCATCGAAGTATTCCTCTACTCCGTCTGCAGGTATAGACAGCATCCTTTCATGCAGTACTGTACACTAGAGTACAACACATCTGTCATGCTGGTTCTTTTCACCATGGTGAATAAATACCGACCGTACTTTCGATTCATGATTGAATGATCGGATTACATCATCTACTTGTCAATTTTCCTCTACTCTATCTGTCGAGTATATGCGTATACGAATTGTACAGTATAATAAATCCTCTGGGTTATTTTACCTCCATCACTTGGGTCACATTACTCAGATACTACATAGTGCATAGTAGGGATATTGAGAGTCTCTATTGTACACTTGTACCTATGATTTCCTTCTCTTTCCTGAAATAAGTACATTACTATCCCTTGGTTGTCCATGGGACGATTGTCGTCAAAGTTTTCCTTTACTCGATAATACGTCTGCTGGGCCTATTCTGCATGACAATACTGAGTTTAAGTCTACGGTATTCCAAGGCAATTCCGTCCCTTCTCTACCATGCAATGGATACTGTACGATCGGTTATATACTGCATATATATTAGTGGTCCATTCAATGACTACTAACATGGTTTTCCAGACTTTATCAGTGGCTGATAGCCGATCGAGTAATATACAGTACTGTACTATATGGCGGCATGTGAATTAAAGTCTGCTCAATGACGTGCATTTCCTCCTGAAAGAATACATCGATGTACAGATGGAGCCAATAATAATACCGTCATTGTAATTTTATGAGTAAGAATCAAATGGTGCAGTTACTGCCGTGAAAGTCGAATTGCAGCATTTTTTTACAGTCTACTCGTTGCTTCTTTGCGTCACCTTGTAGGCGAGTCCATTCTACTGATATAAGCTGTTTGGTTGTTGACTATCGAATACCGTAGCAGGCAGAGTTTTAGTTGGATGGTCGCTCCATCTTCGCAGTCGACCATTGCATTGTAATGACTGCATATAGGTGAGTCATTATGACCAGTAAAGATACTTTGCACTGTCCATGGTCCAGGTAAAAAAGTCCAAACATCTGCATTGCATGGGGTCCAAATCACGCGTGGGTACTCCAACAGGGCGGCGGATATGGCGTTAGTGCAATCGTCAGCCAACAATTCATTCTACATATACCATCCACAGTTATCAAGTACGATTGCTCGACTCTTTATGACCTTCGATACTAAAACCATGACTCAATCTCCAACTATAGCACTGTACTTGGCCAATCTACTGTATATATCTCCAATTCTATCGTCCAAGTTTTCCCTCATTAAGGAACGGGAGGGGGTAACTCCTTAGTACGCGTATTTACAGTACAACAAATTGTCTACAACAGTATCTTTGTAAGTACTGAATGGCGTGTATGATATTATTTACCATTTTATAATGACTGTACGTATAGAGTAGTGCTTTATTTTGTTTTCGTGAGCAGCATACTGTGACTCTGGCCTTCATCAGTACAATCGTCGACTGCTCAACTCATCTTGGCAATTTTCTGCCTCCCATTTGGATATTATTTCGAGCAGTCTGATTGCAAGCCAAGCTCGTTTTTGCTCCTAGCCTAAAAGGTCTATAATACCTGCACCACTTTGACACGGTACGCCGGGCCCGGTCCATTCCGGTCTTTACCTGTATCCAGTATTCCAGTGTGGCAGCCACAAGACTTTATTCGATTGGGTATCATACAGTACGTTGTAGTACTGTACACTGTAAAGTGGAGTGGAAGTACTGTACTGTACAGTACAGTACAACAATTAGTCAATCACTGTCCAGTACAATGTACAGTACATTGTACAGTACTGTACAACCATGGAGTACTCAGTACTGTATGTTTCTAGTACAGTACTGTACAGTACTAGTCAGTCACCCATTCACAACAATTAATCCATACAGAAGCATGCTGTACTGTCGAGGTACAGTACAGTACTGTATACCCGGCTCGGTCCTTTCCGGTCTTTACCTGTATCCAGTGTGGCAGCCACAAGACTTTATTCGATTGAGTATACTGTACAGTACGTTGAAGTACTGTACACTGTAAAGTGGAGTGGTAGTACTGTAGCACAACAGTCACTGTCCAGTACAATGTACAGTACAACCATGGAGTACTCAGTACTGTATGTTTCTAGTACAGTACTGTACTACAAGTCAGTCACCCATTCACAACAATGAATCCATACAGAAGCATGCTGTACCGTCGCGGTACTGTACAGTATGCCCGGCCCGGTCCATTCCGGTCTGTACCTGTATCCAATGTTGCAGGCGCAAGATTCCATTCGATTCGGCATCACACTCAGTACTGTACAAGTTAGTCACCCATTCACAGGAATTAATCCATACAGAGGCATACTATCGCTCGTATATTACATGTGCTATACTGGAGAGGTACAGTACAGTAGATGTAATCTTGTACAGTGTACAGTGAAACCTGTCCACTGTACAGTATATCGTACTGTACGCGGGACAGCGTGTCTGGTCCACAGTGTACAGTAGCGTATGTACAGTATTGTACTGTACATGAGGATAGAATGTACTGTAATCCACTCTGCCTTGCAACGAGTGACGCACACTGTCGCCGTTGTCGCATATGCACCCTGAGTCGAGTCAATGCGGCTATCGTCTGTTCGATACAACAGCAGAGAGAAGAGAAGTCAGTAGAGACGTACGCCAACGCCAAGACAACACTCTTCGGCGTGTTGATCAGCCTCGGCGTACATTTGAAATGATTTAACGGAATTGCGACTGGACTCCATTGCCTCTTTTGCTCTTCTCTTCTATCGATTCCTCTTGCATATTGATGAAATTGTGTTTATTGGCCATTTATTAACTGCAAATCCATCCAGGATTACAAAAGACGTTGACTATCTTGATTTAAACGTGATGTATTCAATGATTTAGGTCTACTTTAAAGAAGAAGTGGAGGTTGGTAACATCTCGCTTTCCAATTGTAGCCAGCCAGTGGCAATTCCTGCACAATCGCAAATTGAGAATCAATCGCAGGTAAGTTAGCCAACGTAGTCAATCGACTTTACTACCAATAGAGAGGATAGATTGTCGTCGTTATGCAGTAGAAATAAGGATAGCACAATAGTTCCCAATTGGGGGACCATGTTGGAAAGAGGATTCTTTCTTCATCAAGCAAAATGGCCTGTCCATGATGGCTGGCTGTTTCAACAAAATTGCAACACAATTCTCTATCCATACCTTTCAAATCGTCTACTATTTGCTAGCATGTTAGAGCATGGGAAAAATAATATCGGAGAGCACGAGATAGTGGTAGTAGTCTTTAGCCAATCATGGACTTAATACTTGTAGAGATAACTCATGATTCTCATAACGCCATGGAGAGCGGTCAAACATGACTGACCGAGGATAAAAAAAAATGAAAGGATCAAAGTGGAGAAATTGGTCATTGGCAACATGCTCAACTTCATCGTCAACACATTCCACTACGAGGAAGAGGGCGGTGATGAAATTAGACTAGTTGATGCTTCGGTTTCATGTTGAATAACGTCGCAAGTCTTTCTTGTCAAGTAGTTTTGAGTCAGACTCAAGGTAGACAGAGTAGTACTGTAGTAGTCTTGATAATAATAACATTTTCCAGCACAATGCCATTAATTGGGGGATGGCTCAACTATTTTTCATCGTTCAGTCCAATGATATTGGATCATATCATTTTATATAGCACACTATGGCAAGCCGTGATGACTTTAAAATAAAAATTGGCTGGCCCTTGAAATGCTTTTCAATACAAAGCAGTTTTGTTCAACATTGACATTGAAAATGAACTACTACTTGTTTACGTCGTGCTGCCATTTTTCAACACGATTGTGTCAATTGTCAAATACGTTGATCAAAGTTGGATAATCTTGATTGTATTTTATTCAATAGGAATCACTTCAAAACGTCAATTGCCTTGATTTACGTCCCTCAAGGTAAATTATTCGCTGAATGTAGAGTAATTTATAAACGCATATTCTAATAGATTTACAATCGATTGATCAATGGATTGAAGATTGAGTTGAGACTAATCTCAAATCATCCACCTATTTAATGATTTATACAAATAATTTATTTATCAACCAATCTTTTACCTTGGTCAAAACTGGTAACGATAGCTTTCTACATGATAACCTCATAGTTAGACTTTGTATTGAAATTACAACAAATACTCTATAGACGACTAGCTCACTCTACCAACTTGCTTTGACATCCACTTCATTTTAACCTACTGTAAAGGATGATCGATCGATCATTCATTGCCTTGATATAACTTGCTATACCAAAACATAGTTTAGTCTTACATTGAAACCATTTCCTGCCTAGGAATCTATCTTTACACACATGTCAGCAATAGAGCAGTATTTTAATAAATTGTCGTATCAATAATAATTGAGTATATCATTTAGACAAAGATCTTCTTCTATTTTATTATAGTGAGGAAGGTGACATGTCCACTGGCAATGTATCGTCACCGAAAAAATCCTCCGTAGATGATTTCTCGGAAAGGATTGCTAACTTAACTTCTGATATAGAAAAGATTTTGGGCCAGAGTATATCAAGCCCAACTGGTACACCCAGTGAATCAAAAAATAGTGCTATAAAGGCCAGACAACGATTGCGTAACCGGAATAAAAGCCCAATTAAAGCTTACACTCCAACAACGCCTGAAGGTATGGTGATTAGAATAGTTTGATTGAACGGAATACATAGTACATTGATTGCTTTTTCCTCATAATAACATGCCATAGGCATCGTTCACGTACATCATTTCTATGATACTGTGCACTTGTTAGAGATCGGGTGCCAAAGTTCAACTGAAGTTAATGCATAAAATTCAATGATATCATTTTATGCTCATGTACTCCATGGAGCTATCCTTTCGATAGCCTAACACCAAGTAAATATGACTATACTATTCGATTGCCCCGCACGTCATATCACGCCAATTACATACAGTATAATATTACTTGGATGTTGCTTGCAATCAGTAAATGCACACAGTCAGTCAAAATTGATCAACATTAACATTGAATACCTACCAAATTTCAACAGTCAAATTTTGATATGTACGCGTACAATAGTAGTATAAAATTATAAATTTACATGAATCTAAATTGATTTTCGTTGCTATGCCATTGAAGACTCTTTATGAAGCGGCTCCGTTATACACATTAAAACATCGGATGCCAACCCAAATGCAATCTGTGCATACCAATCAGCATGTTGATCAATCGGTTGCACTGGGGTCTACAACTGATTAAAGGTGCTATAAAAGTTGTTTCGTACAGTCATGCATGCAACCAGCAACACCTTGTTAATTTAATTCATAGTGGCTGTAAAATGTATTGCAATGGACGCAAAAGAGAGTCGATATTACAAGTATAATATTCTTGTCTAACAATCAACGGTAGTGTTGCTATAGTAGTTGCTGGTGTTGCACATTTTCAGTATTCACAAACGATGCAGCTACAACTGATGCTATAATATTGATTAAATTTAGTTCAAATCAGGCAATATTCTGTTGAACACTAAAACACAGGTACAGGAAATATTAAATTAATCTATAAATAGTAATTAATGTATTCATCAAGGGATTTCAAACGGCTAATGAAATTAAATAGTAGAATTCTAAAATAACCCCGTCATATGTTTTACATGACTTCTGTATCATCAAAATATGGTCGACCGCTTCGTAACTAATATCGGGTGATATAATTTACATGATTTACCTAAATCAGTACCTCTTACTAGAATGATTCAATTTTCTCATAGTAAATGATTATGCCGCTACGAAACACCATGTTTATGACGTCAATTCAATTTTACCAATAGATGCCCCTGCCAATCTATCCTCTGATATATCGGACCAGTCAATGGATAGTACCAAAACAAGCAATGATTTCAAAGGACCAGCAGTTGCTGTAACAGTTAGTGACCAAGACGCTGATGGAGATATAGATTATAGCAATGTTAGCTTTAATCCAGAAAAAATAGCACAAGCGTTTGATTTTAGCGAAGCAACCGTCAACCAACAAGGTAATTTTGTACGGGTTGGAACGTTTCGTAAGAAAAAGACCGACAATCGCCCTACAATTATTCCCAACATTGAAAGTCCTATTGCTTCACCTACGGTTGCCGGCAATAGTTTATTCGTACCGAATAACGATGGTGCGAATTTTGCTTTGCCTATCGCTCCCACAACTGATAATGCAGAAGATAATTTAGTAGCTGCTCCCATGATGGATTCAGGTCAAGGAAGAAATTATAGTAGTGCAACAATGATAAAGAAACCAAAAGAACCAGTTAATCATACCCCAGCATCACAACAACAAATCGATGAAGATGAATTTGTTATGGCAATTGAAGAAGGCTTTAAATCAAGTCAAGGTTAGCAGTATAAATTTCTTCTACTATAGGTTACACTAGTAATATCATGCTGTAACTATACCGGGTGAACTAGGCTGTTGCTTCTGATACTGTGCCTGACTACATTGGTCGAAAAGAGTCACTTCTAATATGTGCTATATATGTTGCTTGCAGCATTTACTCAAGAATTAGATTATCTAGAGAAAATTGGTACTGGTGCAACGGTATGTTATTGATAAGGTTTTATGCAGCTGTACAAGTTTATTACGTTGAATAACGGTGATATCGATCGTGTAAACAACTTTTATGTTAACTATATACTATTATAGGTGCAAGAATCTGCGCTTGCTCGGCAGTCTTTATATGTTAAGTTCGATCCATATGTAAAACCTTCCATGAAAAGTATGTTTCAAGTTCCAGATAGAGCTGATGTTGTTATCTACTAACGATGATCATTGTTGACGTCATGATATCGTGATAATGTTATATATAATATTTTTATCTTGTTCCTATTTCCAGATCGAAATAAGTTTAAGCCTATGCCACCTTCCAAGTATGTTATTTGCATAGATTGTTTGTCAATGTTTAGTACATGGAATGTCACTGTACGATTTCGAGATATGACTAATGGTTATTTTTTGTATCGAATCTTGCAGTGAAAATCTATTACTATTAGAAAGTCCAAACTCTTACATGACCAATGATGAAACGCAACCAAGTCCAACTGAGCAGGATGTCTCCTTACCGCAGGATACCGCTGTTCAGCGATCCGATGTAGACAAACTTTTATCTTTCAGTCCTCAAGCAGAGCAAAGTAATACTACAACAACTGCTACGGTACCTACTGAACCAGGCGAACAAGAAATTTTCATTGATACCCAACCCTCTGTGGCCATCAATCAGCCAGTGTCAATACAAGTAATGTAAATTTAATAATATACCGGTAGCACTTGTTACGCAATACGTAATACTATATACTATAAATTTTGCACATGTTATACATTAACATTTCCAGCCTTGTAAGATACTAAAAAGCAATTCAAATTATTTTAAACTTGCAGCTACAAGAGACTCCAAAAAGTAAAAGTCAAAATACTGAAAAAACAGTATCTGACCAGAAGCCACAGGTTTTTACAGATTGATTCCTTAAAATTGCTTTTTATCGATGCATTTGGATGATAATATAGAATTAATCAATGGAAGAATTTCTTATTATTTTGTACCTAAACCACTTAGATTGAAAATAAGTCAAATGCAACGGCAAATACTTCAGAAGAAATTGAAAACTCAGTGGTAATTACTTGTCATTGAATAAAAAATTGCCTGTTAAAGATGTGGATTTGTTTATTACTCTGTCTCTTAACAATTGCAACCTTGATATTTGATATTGCAATCTTAGACTGGCCCTACTCTAATGGAGACTGAAATTGTAAGTCAACAGTTACAAAAGGAAAATCAAAGTTTACGAAAGGAAATCAATGCCCTAAGGAAGGGACGTGAAATGGATCGGAAGGAAAATGAAGAGTTAAAGTGCGTTTAGATGACCATTAAATTATAACTGAATAATGAAAACTAACTATTAGTACTAATATCGCATCCAAATAAATCTAGATATGTTATGAACGAATATGAAAGGACCATGAGCGAAATGATTGGTATGGAATTTTACTATTAACTAATGTTTTAGTATTCACTCAATGAAAAATGTTCTTACAATGTAAAGAACAGTTATGATATACTAATCCTTGGTGTACTAGACGTGTGTGATGTAAATAAATCTATTCGTTCAAATATTAGTTCTCGTTATTCGGGAATTAAATGTTGACAATTCGAGGCTGTTTCTGACACAATTACTAGTCTTACTGGTATTTTAGCTTCTTATCTATCAAAGCCATACTCAAATGTGAAATTGATGGATGTTATTATATAGAAACAACAGAAACCCAAAAGGCTGAGCATAACCGAGAAATTGAAGAAATCTGTCGTGAAAGAGACCAGGTAAATACCCATATGATGTCATATTTCCGAAATTGAATAGGTTTACAAAGTCGTCTTGTACCGTTTGATATGACTCATGTCTATAACAAATATACATAACAGGCACAAGCTGATATTAATTCTGTAGAAACAGCATTTTCCGATCTTCACAAGAGATATGAAAAACTTAAGGGTTTCGTTGAAGGCTACAGAAAGGTATTCTGAAAGACAACGACTTGATGTTTAAAATTCGTAAACAGTTATGTAAAACTATTTATATTGTTTTCACTAACCAAAATAAATGCTATTATCAAGAACGAGGAAACTTTAAAGGCTTGCATCGTAGAATATCAACAAAAATTGAAAAAAAGCGAAAAACGTTATCAAACTTTAAAGAATCATGCTGAAGAGAAAATTGATAGGTTTTCTATTAGCAGCAGTGTTGGCAGTAATCATAAAATTACCCTTTTTTTCTAGAAAAGTAAGCATAAACATTTCTGTTTTATCAATATAGCGCTAACAAAGAAATAATAAACGTCCGAAAAGGACAGCAGGCTGAATTGGCAGCTTTGCAAGCCGCTTTACGTAGGGAGCAGGCGAAAAATGCTGGATTGGAAAGTAGCTTAAAACAGAAGGTACTTTAAGCTCATTCTTGCTAGGATATCGAGAATTGTACTATTTGCCGTCATTCTGTTAGCGCTTTAGTAACATGTTGGTTGCATTTTGCAGGCACAAGAGAACGCAGAATTAACATCGATATGTGATGAGCTAATTGGAAAGATAGGAAAGTAATCGAAATAACTTGTATATATATATAAAGTCGGAGGCGAGAACAAATTTTGGTTATTCATTCGTTCCAAGGAATCCAGTGGAAGCAAAGTTAAATTTTATGACCTGCTAGTCACTGTACAGTTAATAATCAATATAATTCATTTTACAATGATCATTAAGAAAACATTTATTTAGTCATATGGCCAACGCTCTGTTGTAGAACTTCCTACTGAACTTGCGTTCTTTTTAAGGCATAATTTGTAATGTATGAATTCTATGAAGTTGGAATGTTTCTATTTCAAATTTATCACCATACTTTATTGATCTTTTCATAATAAATTGTTGTTGAAGCTAATTCTTCATAAAGAAGCTGAATTTGGAGATTACAATAATTGCTTCGCTTTAATAATTAAATTAAACGACATTGAGATGAAATAAATGGCATTTAAAAGTTATGATTGTTTGATAAAGTCGCTATTTGTATTTTATTTCACCTGTTATGCAAGCCGTACAGTACGAAGCATGCTGTTCAAAAAATTTTTCAAAACTTTTACGTCATTATATTATGCACCTTACAATTATTGCTGCGATAGCTGTAATGGATTTAATGACTACCTGATAATCGTACAGAGTGCATTTTTGTGCTCAAACGTCCAGTATTTGAACGCACTTGCATCGGGCAAGAAACATCATTTACTTGGGAATATGCTATACACTTAATGTTGGCAGTATTATAGAGCTAAAAATCAGGTCATTATTGCTCAAAGTAGTATTTAAAACTTGCAGATCCATTAAATTAGCTATTCATATTTTTAAGCCAAAGTTAATAAAACTCGAGTTAGCTGATCAATGATAATTACATAATTGTAGTTTACACTTCCACCTATTCGGCTGTTCATACCCTTGATAAAGGAATGTTTAAAAAGCATCCCTTGCTGAGATACGTACTTACTCATCAAGATCAAAATGTTGCTAATTTATGAGGAACAAGACTGTGGTAGAAGGTATTGATTTATGAAATCGTATAATTAATTAAAGGATAATTCCATCGGTACCTTTCTTCCTAGTACTGATTGAATGTTCGCTTGATGCTTTTGAATGCTTTAATTAAATTTTATAAAAAGGATTTAAACAAATTTGCAATTGAGAATTAAATTATTCAAAATATTTTCTATTGTTGCCTCATTCTTATTGGCTGGTTGTACGGCATCAAATTATTATTTATATCAATATGTACCTTGGTGAGCCTATGGTAGTCATAGCAAAATAGAATAAAAAATAGTTCCTATCGAAAACTTTTTCCGTAAAGGTATAGTATCACATTTTTCTATCTACCGTTTAGAGAGGAAGGTTTTTCTAGTCCTATCGGAAAGGTTCCTGGGATTGGACTTTTCTAGTCAGCGGGAAACTTACCATTATAGTGTATTCTATCGATCAGCATATCGTGGCGATCCTTTAATTTAATGATGAATATCTGTATAACTATTTTACTGGCTGTTTTAGCCTTGACGGTTGTTGATGGCCATATCCGTTTAAACTATCCGAAGGCAAGAATGTATGATTTTGACTTTTTGGATAATGTTCGAACTCGCAGCCCTTGTGGTATGCCAGAAAATGCTACTGGCACAGGTATCTTTAAAACTAAATTGATCACAGGCTCTAAGATTAGTATTACTTGGCACATGGCATTTCCTCATGGTGGTGGTTTTCGTATCCAAATTTTACATGGTAACGGAACAATTTTACATGAATTAACCCCGACAAATAATACCAATCCATGGTATTCTATCAGTAATTCCACTATTCAGAGCTATTTGGCTACTTTACCTAGTGGTTTTACTTGTGATCATTGCATTATTCGACTAACACGTAATGCCAAGGAATGGTCCACTCCTAGTGGACCCTATATATTTTGGAGTTGTGCTGATGTAGAAGTCAATAATTTCCAATGCAATCAGTTAAATTGCTATCATGGAGGGAGCATAGCATCGAATTGTAATTCTGCTTCAGCAGTTTGTTCATGCCCCAATAATCAATTCTCGGGCGATCGCTGCCAATATATGAATGAATGTGAAACTTACGCAGACTGTAATAATAATGGTCTATGTGTAACCATTAATCAAGATTATTATTATCCGTTAAAGCAGTGCTTCTGCTCGGCTGGTTTCTATGGCTATAAGTGCTCTAAAACTTCCAATTTAACGGTGGTTATGCCTAATGATGTTTCCTCTTATTCCTACACGAAATTAGACAATAGCAGTGAAATCTGGTATAAAATTCTATCTGCTACTAATGAAGTGGAGGTTATTCATAAAACATTATCTACTAGTTGGGTAGGTTTAGGCTGGAGGCCACAAGGATTAAAAGCATCTTGCCAATTTTTCCCTCCTGGAGCGGCACCATGTCTTATTAGTGGACCTGAAAGCGCTGTAGGTGAAGGAGGAAATCAACCAGAGGGCAATTCTGAAAGTACAAGTAAACCAGAAGGGGGTGCAGAAAGTACTGCTCAACCTGAAGGCAACGCTGGAAGTACCGCTCAACCCGAAGGCAACGCTGAAAGCACTGCTAAACCCGAAGGGGAAGGTGGAAGTTCAGAAAGTGGCGGCGCTGCTGGCAATCTTGTAACCCATGCCATGGATTGTACCGATATGGTGATTGGTAGTGCTCGAGGGAATATGTTTCGATTATTTGATTACTATTCGCGTGATCGTAGTACACCTCGAATGGATTCCTATTTTGGTGGAGAAGACAGTATTACTGCAGCGGTGGGCTCCGAAAGCAACGGCTATACCACATTAAGATGGCGTAAGCAGTTAACTGCAGAAGGAACCACCGATCATACTATTCAGGATGAAGTATTGGATGTTATTTATGCTTATGGTCAAAAGTATCCTTACTCTCATCAATTTCCATCCGGTCTGCATAATTCGCATCGCTTAACCAATTACTATAATGATGATGAGCTCAAATATCACGGTTATCAAAATCGTGGACGTAAAAGTCTCAATTTTTTTGGTGATTCCAAGTTAGTTACTAATACTTGTAGTGGTAGCTGGAAAACTGGATGTACCGGCAATTCTTGTTCTAATAACTTACAATGGAATATTTACAATGATGGAACAGTCCATTTTACAATGTCAGCAGTAACGGATAAATGGATTGGTTTAGGTATTTCAAATGATCATAAGATGGCCAAGACCGACGCCATCGTTGGTTGGGTAGGGAAAGTTGCCCCTGTCATTACCGATCGCTACATATCTAGCTATGCTCCTCCACCAGTTGATGCTGTATCCAATGTTAACTTACTTGAAGGATCGAAATTGAATGGTACCACTACATTAAAATTCTATCGTCCAATTAATACGAGTGACTCACAAGATATCAGTTTACATGGCTGCCATTACTTTATATTTGCGATTGGTGGTCAATATACTGATTCTAATTTTGCCATTTCCAAGCATGCCTCGACTCCATTTATTACAAGTCGAAAAATTTGTATCGATGTTAATCAGTGTTCAAAGTCTTATTCACCGTTAGGTATTGACATCATGACTTCTACTCCTTGTAGTGGAAGCTGGGGTACACGATGCCTGAATGGCCAATGCGCTAGCAATCTACGCTGGAATGTCTATAACGACGGAACGGTGCATTTCCAGATGTCGGCTGATACTGATAAATGGCTTGCAATGGGTATTTCTGTGGATAAGAAAATGCCATCTTCAGATGCTATCGTAGGCTGGATATCCCAGGGTACTGCAAAGTTAAGAGATCGCTTTCTTAAAGGTTATTTTATACCTGCAGTCGATGCAATTACTAATGTCGATTTAATTAATGGTTCTCTCATCAATGGTATAACGACGCTAAACTTTAAGCGTGCTATGAACACCTCGGATTCACAAAATGATGTTAGTTTGCATGGTTGCCACTACTTTTTCTTGGGCACTGGTGGTAGTTATGATGATAATAACCTTGATATTGGTGTCCATCCTCAAACACCAGCTGTCGCTAAAATTCCAATGTGTCTTTATGCTAGTCGATGTACACAATTTAGTCCACCAGGAACTGGCGCAGCTGGCACTATTTTTACTCTAATTCATTTGGTCATTGCTGTCTTAAGCGTCTTGATTAGTAGTATTTTCTAACTGGTTCTACGTGCAGCATGATTAATGGGATTACTGCTCATGCTAATATTGATTCATTATTCGGGTCTATTTGAAATAGAATATCGTATAGCTGATTCATTGCAATTTAGTAGAGTAAGGATTGATTTGTAATCAATTGCCACTGCTAGATGGGCCATTAATTTTAGATTATATGCAAGCCACAAGCTGTTGTTAAAAAATTCAGTAAGTGATCATATTAATCTCAATTCTGCTTCTTTTTTTTCGTTAACAAATATATCATATAATGAATGATACCGATTCAAAGGAATTAAGAATTTATATGTATTAATTTCTTAAAGTAGAGTAGATTATGGTGAAAATAAAATTCAAAAAGAAAAGGTATCTTATAGCAATGTTTATTTCTCAACAACACTGTACTTTCAGAAGATAAAATATTATGCTTAATTTTAATTAAATTGAAAAGTCGAGTTGTTCAGTAAAGTGTATTTCTGAACAACCTATCTAACCCGTTGTATCAAATAAAGTAAGCATTAAAATTTAGAAATGTTAAAGTTTAATAAAATTTATCTCTGAATAGGACTTTTTTGACGCATACATGAATTTGCTTCAAGGATAAAATTTCAACCATTGAGGCATTAAGAAAGTCCATTTGGAAATGTTTAGTAAAGTTTTCTTTCGACATAGCATTATGAACGCATTTCGTAAATATGCGTAAATGACAATATTTCAATAAATGTACGCCTGAAGAACAAGATTAAGTAGTAGTCTAAAATTTTCTATTCAATCCAATAGTAAGTAAGTGTACAGAATTGTCCGTCAAGTAATTTCATAGAGTAGAATCGATTGAGTCTATGGGTCTGTTTTATATCACCTACAATGATAATTGCTATAGCTCAATTCTATCTTATGGTAATACCTATATAAACCTATATAGACATGTAGACATACCATGCAATACTGTATAGATTTAAATGTAAGGTATTCGCATGATATAGTAGAACCTAACAGATGTACGAATTAAGCTGTTGTATATCATCTGCTTTGATCATTTACTATAACTCGATTCTATCCTTTGATTATAGCTATATAGATATAACTTGTAATGTAGATTTATCCGTTAAGTATTTTCATAAAGTAAAGTAAAACCTAATTGATACAAGGGTTTGGCGGTTGTATATCATGTACAAGATTTCTAATTGCTATAGCTCGATTCGATCTTTTGGTTATACCTATATAAACATGCAGACATACCATGCAATATAGATTTATCCGTCAAGTACTTTCATAGTGGAATAAAACTTAATTGACACGAATATTAGGCTGTTGTATATCATCTACAATAATAATAATTGCTATAGCTCGATTCGATCTTTGGATTACATCCATATAGATATGTAGATGAACCATATGATATAGATTAACCGTCAAGTATTTTATGGTCTTATTACAGACAGATCGTGAGCTCATCACTTTTTTAACAAATAAATTCAAAATTATATATGCTTGAGAATTTTAGCATTAGTCAAATTTTATTATCCCATTCTGCACAGATTATTGAGCATGTCTGTCGCTTCTAGACATTATTAATTAAGGATAGAATACTAGAATACATATTAAAATAGAAATATGTTGGAAATTAGCTAGATATGTTTCGAAAGATTATCAAATCAATTTTCTATTCCAGTAAAATTTTTACAATAAACAGAGTAATCACTATAGTTTTAATTAAGCGTTTTCTACTGACTTTCAGAGTATAATCTCTCCCTGTATACTACTTTACATATTAATTTTCTCTGCTTCGTTCTATTAACCTATCCGAGAAAGGGTAAAGGGATATCGCTGAATTGTGACTTAAACTAGTTAATTCATAGTACAGCATGATACATCAATAACAGCTGCCGATGCTTCTTGATGCCCTCCCTTTTCCCCAATTATGGAAATCATCACAAGAAATGGACTCCTGTAGCGTATTGCTTGAAGTCCTCAGAAAAGTATCCTAGCAGCTTAATTCAATAACTAAATAATTTCCTTCCCGCAGTTTATTTGCTTTAAACCACTTGGTAAGTACCCTAGTTACGTCATAAAAACGTAGCCGAATTATAAAAACATTCAGCCTAATTAATTCTCTCCTGTAGCTTATAGCTTGAAATTATGAAAATACCTAATCAAAGTGATTCCCTCCTGCGATATCATGCTTAGATTATTAGGAAAGCACCCAAATGGATTCCTTCCTGCAGCTTATTGCTTCAAAACATAAAGGAAGCAAGCAAAAAAAAGCGGCGAAATTATGCACGCACTGAACTAAATGGATTCTTTCCTGTAGTTTATAGCTTTAAATCATTAGAAATGTATCCTGGCCGTCTAATTGGAAAGTCATACAGACTCACTTGCTATGAATGATCAAAGTGGTATTAAAGTGTAAGTAAACACCATCTTTTCACACTTGTTTCCTAACGCAGACAATTAAATTCGATAGAGGCATTTCAAGGCAGAAATGGCCGAGGATAATACAGTAACGAGCAGTTAAATGAAACTTGATGATATATTACATCGTCGATACGAAGTAACTGCAACCTTCAACTCTATCGATATAAATGATAATTTAATCCCTCAACACATTATACCTTCGACTTTAATCGGGATTAAATTTCTAGCTATCATCGATATTTTTGTACTTGCTCTTAAAGAAGCCATTTGTATAATGTCTTAATCCAACTGATCATTGGAAGCTTATTGTATATTGTTGCCATCGTTTATTGACAGCAGTCTATTATGTCAATAAATTCACTCCGATAACCAATTGGAGCTCCTGCATTAAATAGGAAATTGTAACAATTCTAATTATATAATTAATTATTGATCCTCTACCATGCTATGTTATTGTCAAGGATTAAACCAGATGATTGGTTCGTAAGGAGATTATCGTAATAATGCTATAGGTGAAAAATAGAGAATAAGGTCATGACTTTACGGAAGAAACTCTCGCCAGTATAATTATAATCCCTGAGCAGACCTATACAAAAATAGCAGGAAGCGAACAAAGGCCAAAAAATGACTATTTAATCATCCATTTACATACTTTCTTTGTGCTGATTTGAACTTTAGATCCAATTTTAATCTATATCAACAAGAAAGGCGTTGAGAGAACGAATAGTGGTGATCAATCCATGTATTCAAGATGAATAAGTTGTGCTTTATTTTAATTGGGGTGTTGGCCATAACGATGGTCAATGGACACATTCGCATCCTCTTCCCAATATCTAGAATGTATGATTTCGATTTTATCGTCAATTTTAGATCACGAAGTCCTTGTGGAATGCCGGAAAATGCAACCGGCCAAGGTATCTTTAAAACGAAATTAGTTGCTGGTTCAACCTTTGATATGACATGGCATTTAGCATTTGCTCATCAAGGTGGATTTCGAATTCAAATTTTACAACGTAATGGAGTTGTAAGCCATGAATTAACACCGACCAATGACTCGGTGCCATGGTTCTCCTCGGATAATGCTACTATTCAAAATTATCTTGTTACCCTTCCTCAAGGCTTTACTTGCGATCATTGCATTATACGCCTTATACGCGATGTCGCCGAAAGATCAACCCCTACTAAACCGTTCCAATATTGGAGTTGTGCTGATGTTGAAATTGGCAATTTTCCTTGTACACAATTAAATTGTTACAATGGCGGAACGATAGCATCTAATTGTAATTCAGCATCGCCAACATGTAGTTGTGCTACTGGTCTTGTCTCGGGCAATCGATGCGAATTTGTCAACGAGTGTGAAACAACTTCAGACTGTAATGGCAATGGCCAATGTCTGACTATTAACCAAGATTATTATTACCCTTTAAAGCAATGTTACTGTTCTCCTGGCTATTATGGCTATCGATGTTCCCAAACTTCGAGTCTTACTGTCGCTATGCCTAGCGATTTAACGTCATATTTCTATTTTCGACTGGATAAAAATAGTGAAATGTGGTATAAAATGTTATCTGCTAGCAATGAAATTGAAGTAATCCATAAAACGCGATCGATTACTTGGGTAGGATTAGGCTGGCGACCACAAGGTTTGATGGAGTCTTGTCAGTTTTATCCGGCCGGAGCAGCACCAGGTTTAGCTTTTGGTCCACCAGGTTCTCCTGGAGAGAGCAATCAAGCAGAATCAGATGCTAAGAAAACGCCAGTAAAGCATTCTATGGCTTGTACAGACATGGTGATTGGTAGTGTTCGCGGAAATACTGTTCGAATTTTCGATTACTACTCTCGTGATCGCGGTACACCTAGAAAAGATTCTTATTATGGCGGAATAGATAGCATTACATCAGCAGTAGGTTCAGAAGTCAACGGTGTTACAACGTTAAGATGGCGGAAAAAGTTAGCGGCCGATGGACCTACCGATCACACTATCATCGATGCACCCTTGGATATTATTTATGCTTATGGTCAAAAAGTGCCATTTACCCACGAGAAGCCTTCGGGTATTATTAATACCACTCGCGAAACGACATTTTATGGCGATGATGAATTAAAATATCATGGTTTTGAACATCGAGGTCGTCGTTCGCTCAATTTTTTCTCAGATAATCGATTGAATGCCGCTACCTGTGGCGGTAGTTGGACTTCCAATTGTGCAGGCAATACGTGTAGCCAAACTTTAGCGTGGAATGTGTATAATGATGGAACAGTGCATTTCACGATGTCTGCAAAGACCGATAAATGGCTTGCATTGGGTATTTCCAACGACGCTAAAATGCCCAATTCCGATGCTATTGTGGGTTGGGTATCCAATGGAGCTGTTGTATTAATAGATCGCTTTCTCAAGACGTATTCTTTACCCGCTATCGACGCCATTAGCAATGTTCAAGTTGTCAATGGTTCCCTTATTAACGGCGTAACAATCTTGAATTTTATTCGTCAAATTAATACTACCGATACGCAAAATGATATCAGTTTGCATGGTTGCCATTATTTTTTCTTTGGCGTTGGTGGAGCTTATAATAATAATACATTGGATATTGCAGCCCATCCTTCAATACCTGCTATCACTAGTCAAAAAATATGTATTGATGCCAGTCAATGTTCTCAATTTAAGCCACCAGGTAGTGGTACAGCTGGAATCTTTACCATAACCCATTTACTGACGACGATGATAGCCGTTGTCCTATCCAACATTTTGCTTTAAAATATCGATGACCAACAATACGATGGGATATAGTATTCGGGTTATCGTCCAAGTTAGAAATACCGTGAATTCGACAATTTCCTATTTCATTCTGTTTAATTTATGTCTTAAAGTAGCGTTCTACAAGGTAGATTAAAAGGATAAAAAAAGATGTTCATAGTTTATCTGATATGCACGCGTATGCTATCGGCAGTAGACCAGTCTCTAACGCTCGTAATGATAAAATGAGGCAATTTAGAATAAATATAGTAAATTGGTGATAGAATTATCATAATTTCGGATTTGTCCATTGCATTCTATTATAGCTTTGAGTGGGATGATTTTTGATTCTGTGAATAAATTCAACTTGCTCATTTAAAATTGGCGATAGTTTGCCTAATCTAGGTAAAGTATAACATAGAAATTGTTAGACAGTGGACTAATGATCATTATAACGATACGAAGATCAAGAGCTCTCAAAATCAACCTAGAATTTCAATCGTGAGGACTTTACTTTCTTACATTTTATTCTTTCCAGTCATTTTCTTCCTTGATTTCATAAATTCAATCGTTACCAAATATAAATGAAATCTAAATGAATTAGGGAATCATATTCGTTACCGTGTAAGAACGAATCGGTTTTTAGCCCCATTGGATTCAGCATTCACCATCTCAAAATTGGAAATATAACAGAGCAAAGCTCTCACGTAGCACAAATAGGTCAATACCGCTTTCAACCTTAAAAATGGTGTTGTTCATGATGATAGGGTTGGTAGAAGATGAATCCGCTTTTTCCTCCCTCATAACAACAGTTGAAACGTCTAAGAGGAACCCAGTCATCGACTTTAACTCTACAACAATTCTATACCACTCATTCAAAACCGAATCAAAGACTTCTTGACAATATTCTACTTGGGAGTTAAGAACCTCATTAGCCTATTAATCAAAAACAGAATTTAATTTGGCTGTCGGCTGAGGCCTTTCATGTCCATAGTACGAATAGTACAAGTATATCGTTTCATCAGATCGCCATCTTTCATAGTTACTTTAATAAGCATAACAGACTATTCCACATCCTATAGAGCTTCATATTTCTACTGTCATTAACTGATATCCCTACAATAATATCAATATTAGGGCTCTGTAGACTATATTCGCATGCTAGAAACACAAGATAAAACATGATTACTTAGAAACTCTTCCATCCTCGTTCAGCTTACAAATGAACGTGGTATAAACGATGAGATTATCTTGATTTGGTCAATGTGTCTCCAATTTCTCAATCTAGACATGCATTAGTTTTGTACTACAGGTAAATAAAGGCGGAAATTAAGAATTAATAAATTGTCACAATCATTAATGAACTATAGTACATAAAAAAATTGATCCAAAGATATTTATGCTGAATCCAAAACTAATGGCTACCAATATGATTAAATCTTTGCTATAAATGAAAGCTAAACATTAGAAATTATATTCATGATTATCATCGATAAACTAAAGCATGTAAAAATCGATTTTATAGTGTTTATAGTGAATCAAAAACGAATGGTTACTAGTACGATAGTGTCCTTGCTATAAATGAAACCTAAACATAGAAATTATATCTGTAATTAACGTGAACTACAGCTTGTTACAGAATCAATTCTAATATATTTATAGTGAATCTAAAGCGTATGGTTACCAATAGGATAAAATCCTTGTTATAAATGAAACTTAAACATAGAAATCACACGATAATTATTATCGGTGAACTATAGCATCTTAAAAAATTGATCCTATGATATTTATTGTGAATCCAAAACGAATGGTTACCAATACGATAAAATCCTTGCTGTAAATGAAACCTAAATATAGAGATTATATCGGTGATTAGCATCGGCGAACTATAGCACGTTAAAGAATCGATCCTATGATATCGATGGTGAAAATTATTTTATTCTTGCTCCCCATGTAGCACACCTTCAATCTATCTATCATTCCTTTTATCTCCTTCCATTTTCTGACTTATTAAGCGAATCTGATTGTTAGCAATTTGAGATAAACCTTGCTATAAATGAAAGCTGAACACAAAAATTATATCCGTAATTGAATAGCCTTTAAGGCTATATTTGGATGCAAATAATATAGCGTTGTTTATTATTATTTGTATGCTTTTACATCTTGTTCAAGTTTAGCAATGAAGCTGATTTCTCTAGAATAGGTGTGCATTATCAAAAATAGACTAATAGATGCCAATATTCAAGCCACAATTCGATTTATAAATACCTGTAAGGTTGTTAAGCACTATTCTAACTTTTGCATGACCTGTTTTTGCAATTATTTAAACATACAGATGAAAATTCAGGCGTGTATAGTCAATTTTGCGCACTAAAAATGAACATAGGCCGCTAATGGTGATAAAAAGATAATGATTACTGGTAGGCTTATTTTCTAAGCCATCTTTTGGCACGATATAATTGCTCGTGTGTTTGACAATTATTACTCCAGATAGGATGAGAAAGCTTTAAATAAACGGTCCATTTTGATCCTAAGAATGATTTGGAAATAAATAACTCTCTAGTTAAGAGTAATATTACGGGTCTAGTTCTCAATAATGCTGCTTAAAGTCCATCTACTTTGTCCGATAAAGTCTAGCTTAGTATAGTTTGCTTATTATGCGTTGGGATTAGTTTTATTTTTGTAAGCTAAGCATCGTGATGGTCGCAACTGCTAGATAGTTCTGCCATGGTTTTGTAATGATTCTACACCAGATCTAGGTAAAGTAAAGCAAATCAGGCCTATTTGGCAAAATTATCTGCAGATGTTATGGATTATGTATCATACGTCCATATTAAATTAATTATGTACTATTAGCATATCATAGCAATAGTTACCCATATTAGATAAATAATTTTTTAATAATTTCAGGTATTGATTTCAATCAAATCAAACTAATTTAGCTAAATCATATATCTATTTGACAGGCTTTGGGTCCATACCTCTATAAATTAATTCTATGTGAGGTGCTCCTATTGCTATTTAATGTGTCTTTTATACCTTAGCATGCTGCTGATAGCTACTGGTGCTAAATAGATATTCCTTATAAATTAAGATAATAATGTTCCTAAAGTTCTAAGTCAACTAAATTAAATCACACCTATTAAAATAATAATACATGAGAATTTTTCTAATTATTAGTAAATATTCATTAAATAACAGCTATTTTAAGCAATTAGACCTGAAACTAGTGTGATTGATTTTGATTAATAAATAGTATACTGATTGTAGTACTGGTATCTACTTCTTTACTGATCGTACATAATGTCTATATACGAGGATATACTCTAATTTCAAGTCTGGGACTTTTAAAAGAAACTTAAGGACTGAATATGCATCTTCAGCACCCAAAGTAAGCAATATTGATTAAATAGCATCTATTTTTATGCTATTGGGTCTGAATTAGCCCGCAATTAACAGGTATGATTCATGTCCAGTTGTAACCAATATGACTTCAGTTAAGTCGACTTAGCGAGATTAAGAAGAGATGAATATCATATGCTTAGGTTAATTGATCACCGTAACCTGACTGTATCGGTAAAAATCTAAGCGATATTGATTATTTGCACCTTAATTTCAGGATAATTTACTATCTGCACTACTTTAATGTGATGGATATGACTGACAGTTTTTTACGGGAAAACTTATATATTTATATCCTATAATAACTAATATCTTTTTCTTGCTCAGAGCAATATTGATGAAATGACATCTATTTCATGCGATTAGGCCCAGGTTAATTTTGCTCTGTATCCTTAACGTAATGATAGTTATAACTGATAGCTAATTATGTATATTTATTTACCCGATTACATTACAGGAGATGATTTGCTTTAGTTCTAATTCTTGATTAGTTTCACGTCTGTTTTATCCTATTTGCTCAGATTAGTGCCGTGTGTTTAGACTAATTTATCCTCACAAGCTTAAAATAATGATATTCATAATTAACTATTAATAGGTCGCGATTTCTACTGTTGCCTATAGCAATGTTAATAAGATCACTTGCAGTTCGCAATATTTAACTTTAATTAGACGGTAGTCTGGATCTCATATGTTCTAAATTAATTTTATTTTCTCTAGTGGAATACTATCTATCCAATGTGAAATTAACATTATTATAACAGAGGCTAATTATCAATTTACGAGAACGTAGACAATCTAGTACAAGAAAGGAAACCTTCTTTGACTAGTTGTAGATGACCTGAGCCAGCAGTAAAGCTAACGTAATGTAGTAATACAATATATGTAATTGATCAAACTCTAGAATATCAATTTTGACAGATAAAATTATTCAATTTGTTTATATTGCCCTTTGCGTCAATCATAATGTCTGCATATACGTCATTATCAATGACGATCATAGCATACAAGTAGTAATTGAGACAATCTGATTACGTTCAAGATTGTCATATTTTTACAATAAATTGTATATTATGATATTATTGCAATTTTAGAATTCTATTTTTAACCAATTTAAATAGATAATGAGGGCATTAACATAACATACAATAAGATTTAATTCAATTTGTCACTCCCAGTCTTTATCGAAGCCTGTAAGGTGTTCAATCTATTGACAGATTCTAGTTTATTTCGTCAATTGTACTCCTAATTGTAATGAGAATAGGCTGTTTATTAAATGAATAGAATTCATTAAATAGTTTAATGGATTGATATTGTCAGATTGATCATCATTAAATATTCCACATAAGCAAGATAACAAATATCAGTTTGCTATTATCAGCAAGTTTGGATAATAAAAAGTTCATTATCATGTTTGCTAATTAACTTCAAATTTCAGTTACTCCTTGTATATTTTATGTACACGTATTAGTATAAACCTATTTATCATATAGCCTCAAAACTCGTGTGTAGAACAATCTTGCTAGGAAAGGCCTTGAATTTTTTCTACGAGAGAGGTCTCTGAATCATTTCTTACTACATTGAACACACCTTCGCCGGTAAGAAAATCAAGGAATTCTTGT